ACGACTCTACAACTGACATAGTTTCAAGACCAGCCAGGCCCCTTTGAGGCACGTCCTGGCATGTGCCGACAAACCGCGCTGCTGGATGCACCGTTGTTTGGCATCACGCTTCCGACTACGCCGAGTAATACAGAGCCTCATGTCGCGCATCCACCGCGTGTTGAGAGGGTTCGGATCCCTCGGGCCATCGCGTTGTCCAATCGCAGGCGCGTCTTTGCGTGCCACTTGGCATTGCAACAGGCGCTTTTGTAGACGGACTCCTCGTCAAAGCAGAGTGAGTGAGGATTGACCCGTGGGCTGCTGGTTACTACTGGGTTGTGTCCGCCCGGGACGCCCATTTCGCTGGTGATAGCCTACCACGAACGTGGCGCGTAGTGGCCGTGCCATCAGGTGTTATGCCACACAGTGATCGGGCGACATCGCAGTACAGTCGCACCTTCTTGCAGCGGCTGGCTGTACTTCCTGTCAATCCACCACATGGGTTGTTTGGTGTTTCTGAAAGGGTAGGAGGTATTACGCAACAAATACAGGTACACGAGGATAAACGTTGGTTGTGACTGTGATTGCATCTTCTTCCCGCGCAGCAAAGGATTTTGTCTTTACTGATAGATACATATAGCCTTTGAGCGACGAAAACTGTACTAAATAGGGTAATTTGACAGTATAATCTTCGCTTGGGGTGAGTAGGACGCATACCCGTTAGGACAATGATAAGAATAGGGTAGTCATTTCTGGGTCGATGCCTGGTCCGCAGCAGGTACGGATACAGCACTCCATCGTTCTCGCTGCCAAGTTCCCAGTCTCGATATCCTAGCGAGATGAGGTTGGATCAGCCATCGCTGGCCGCGTTCTTCCAGTTTACGCACACAAGAGAAAGAGACTAGATTCGACGGGTGTGATGCTCCGGCGGTGCTCTTGGGCTGTTGCGTGAGGAAACCCCCCGGGCCAGGCCACCCATGACCGGCAACCTCGCTATCTGGCAGCCACGGCAGATCATGACCGACGGCTAGGCCCGAGAGGGGAGGTGTCCGTCTTCACCAAGCTCACTGCGACCCTCGGCTAGGACAGCCCTGGCGCTATTCCAGGGCAGCTGCAGCCACCGTGGATTGTGAGAGACGACGAGAGATGAGAGGGTGTGATGGCCCCGCCATTTCTGTGGGCACCTGCCTGGAGGCCCTTGGAGTGTGGCAGCCATAATGAAGGACTAGGGACAAGAGGGTGTGATGACCCTGCCATCACGGTGGACACTTTGCCTGGATGTGACTGCCGTGTGGCAGCCACAAGAAGAGACTAGGCACAAGAGGGTGTGATGGCCCTGCCACTTCTGTATGCACCTGCCTGGGGGGCCTTGGAGTGTGGCAGCCACAATGAAAGACTAGTCAGAAGAGGGTGTGATGGCTCCGCCAACACTGTGGGCACTCGCCTAGGGGCCCTTGTCGTGTGGCAGCCATAATAAGAGTCTAGAGCTAGGAGGGTGTGATGGCTCCGCCATCGCTATGGGTCTTCTGCCTGGGTAGTCCTTGCCGTGTGGCAGCCACAATGGAAGACTAGAGCCAAGAGGGTGTGATGGCCCTGGCAACGCTATGGACACCTGCCTGGGGGCTCCCACTTCGGGCCAGGCCACAATTGATCGACGACTTGCCGTGTGGCAGCCACACGTCACCCGAGCTGCTTAACATCAGAAGCTGGGGTGGCTGCATTCTGCCCCTGTCGATCAGTCTACTCTTTGTGAGAGCCTCCCGACCGCAGGGGTCGCGTAGATGCGCCCGCGTGGCCCATCATATACAGATGCACCCGTGGCAGACAGATAGCGATGGCGCACGACAACGGTTGTCAAGGCCACATCTAGTGAATTGTCCAGCTCCACACTTCTATTACAGTCGTGAGCAAATGCAGCTTCCTATTCACGCACTCTGTCTGTTTATGGAGCCTGGGTCGGATCTATATGTACATGAATCTACCTCGATGAGCCATAATAAGCCGCGCTCGCGCTGCCAGAATAGCCGGGTTTGGATGAGCGCTAGGTGCTGCTGGGTCACTCAGAGTGGGCTGCAGCCCGCCAATGCGGCGCCATGTGTCACAGTGTCTTTCACACGGCTGAATACTTTCAGTGACCGACAAGACGTAGGATTCTATTGGGTACTTTGCCGTTTCAATGGAGTGCACCGAAAGGTATCCATAAAATAAACACTGTATGGAGCCATCATGAACTTTCGTGTTATTCGATTCGATAGGAAGCTGCGAATGCTCACGACTGTATACCGTACCTAAGCCGCAGACCGCCATCCCAACGATGGACAAAAAGCAGCTTTTGGACGCTGAGAACAAGTGCGTATAGGCGTCCGCCAGGATACCGCTATAAATCAAGCGCATCGTTGCGATCGCACTTCTACTTGCTCTTCCATTGCCCATCAATTATAATGCCTCAGAGAGAGGAGATTGTAGGACGACCAAATCGTCGTACGTCTTGGAAGAGAACGCAATCTTCAACGTATGTTCAATCAGTAACATTTGGGATGACATGGGCCATGACTGCACTGACTGCGTCTCGATGTCTGCTGGAACCTCCGAATTCGAGCGATACCGCGCGTGACGCGCAGCAGGCGTCTGCGGGTACTCTGTACTCTGGAAGACTTATGACGGAACGTTATAGCAGTGATGGTCCACACGAGAAATAACCCGACTCGGAGACTGGAGATGGTCCACATAAAGTTTGGACACGCAATGAGGGCTACTGTTTGTGATGTGTGTGGTAGCTATAGGGAAGGGATATCTTGTATTAAGGTGCTGTGCACCACTTCAGTGGTGAAGCTCTCGCAATAAGCTAAAGTGTTGGCAACTGGCCGCTTTAGGCGAGAGGTGTTAATGTCTTAGATTAACTAATAATGCATTAGGTACTCCTTCTGCACGCGGGGACATGTTACTGGATACGGCTAAAAAGGCTTTGCGCAAGCACTAGGCATGAAAAGAAGCTATCGTTAGCACAAGGGCACCCTTACTATTCAAGAGAGGAAAGACCTTGTTAATCAAAAGAAGATTAATGGATAGCTTAAGGAAGAAAAGCGTGCGAAGAGGCGCTATAGTCACGACCGAAATCAGCGACTACCCCGCGCAACTCTCCCGTAGAAGCCAGCCAGTTCTTGTCCTCTGCGCCTTGGGATCATATTTTGGACCCTATGACGTCCATTCTCGGAGCGCAATTCTTCCGTATTCGGCACCCTTTGCCCCTGATGGACAATCTTTATGCAAGCCACAAAAGACAGTCTTTATTTAAGCTACAAGGGCATAATAGATCAGAGAGGCTCTGGACGTCGAAATGGAACAAAATAGCCGAGGCTATAGCTATGATATTGATTGTTATACTTTGTCACCGACTCCCTAGAGCTAATCCTCAACAATCTTCCTTATTATCACAGCTGTGTGTCCTCTCTGGTGGAGGAGAAGCTCGACGTCTTGGGCCATACGCTGCCTCTTTTCCGCTGTAGCGCGAATCATGCCCGGGGTGATGTCCCACCCACCTGGATCAAAGCGTGCTCTTTCGAAACAGTCCATGCCAAAGACTTCTATAGAAGCCCGTATACCATCAACAGTGGCGGAACGAAAGTCGAGAAACTGTTGAAATGCTGCAGCCCCGCTGTTCACATTCTTTGCTGCAACGTTAATGATACGCTTTAAGGCTGAGTGATTCCTTTGTAGTGAGGCGCCACTTTACCACACCTCAGTCATAAGCTTTTCGATATCCTCCGTGACCGTGACTTAGTCTCCCTTCTGGTCGAAAAGGAGCTTTATTACCTTAGCCCCGCTGCCCTCGTTCTCCGCCGCCGCCTTAACGATATCGTCCGTGATCGTGACTTGGTCTCTCCTCCGGTCGAGAAGAAGCTCTATTATCTCAGCCCCGCTGCCCTCGTTCTCCGCCGCCGCCTTAACGATATCCTCCGTGATCGTGACTTGGTCTCTCCTCCGGTCGAGAAGAAGTTCTATTATCTCAGCCCCGCTGTACTCGTTCTCCGCCGCCGCCTTAACGATGTCCTCCCTGATCGTGACTTGGTCGCCCCTCCGGTCGAGAAGAAGCTCTATTACCTTAGCCCCGCTGCCCTCGTTCCCCGCCGCCGCCTTAACGATGTCCTCCCTGATCGTGACTTGGTCGCCCCTCCGGTCGAGAAGAAGCTCTATCACCTTAGCCCCGTTGCCCTCGTTCTCCGCCGCCGCCTTCACGATATCCTCCGTGATCGTGACTTGGTCTCCCTTTCGGTTGAGAAGGAGCTTTATCACCTCAGCGCCGTTCCATAAATTCCCCGCTGCCGCCTTAACGATATCTGCCGTGATCGTGACTTGGTCGCCCCTCCGGTCGAGAAGAAGCTCTATCACCTCAGCCCCGCTGCCCTCGTTCCCCGCCGCCGCCTTGACGATATCGTCTGTGATCATGACTTGGTCTCCCCTCCGGTCGAGAAGGAGCTCTATCACCTTAGCCCCGCTCTCCTCGTTCCCCGCCGCCGCCTTGACGATATCGTCCGTGATCATGACTTGGTCTCCCCTCCGGTCAAGAAAGAGCTCTATCACCTTAGCCCCGCTCTCCTCGTTCCCCGCCGCCGCCTTGACGATATCGTCCGTGATCGTGAATTGGTCTCTCCTCCGGTCGAGAAGAAGCTCTATCACCTTAGCCCCGCCGCCCTCGTTCTCCGCCGCCGCCTTAACGATGTCCTCCCTGATCGTGACTTGGTCTCCCCTCCGGTCGAGAAGGAGCTCTACCACCTTAGCCCCGATCCTAGAGTTCTTTGCCGCCGCCTTGACGATATCCTCCGTGATCGTGACTTGGTCGCCCCTCCGGTCGAGAAGGAGCTCTATCACCTTAGCCCCGCTCTTATTATTCCCCGCCGCCGCCTTGACGATATCCTCCGTGATTGTGACTTGGTTTCTCTTCTGGTCGAGAAGGAGCTTGATTACCTTAGCGCCGTTCCATAAATTCCCCGCCGCCGTCTTGACGATATCCTCCGTGATCGTGAATTGGTCTCCCCTCCGGTCGAGAAGAAGCTCTATCACCTTAGCCCCGTTCCGCCAATTCCCCGCCGCCGTCTTGACGATATCCTCCGTGATCGTGACTTGGTCTCCCCTCCGGTCGAGAAGAAGCTCTATCACCTCAGCCCCGAACCTACTAGACAAGGCGGTAACAGCCCCTTGAGTGATAGTGACTTGGTCTCCCCTCCGGTCGAGAAGAAGCTCTATTACCTTAGCCCCGCTGCTAACGTTCTCCGCCGCCGCCTTGACGATATCCTCCGTGATCGTGACTTGGTCGCTCCTCCGGTCGAGAAGGAGCTCTATCACCTTAGCCCCGCTCTTATTATTCCCTGCCGCCGCCTTGACGATATCCTCCGTGATCGTGACTTGGTCTCCCTTCTGGTCGAGAAGAAGCTCTATCACCTCAGCCCCGCTGCCCCAGTTCCCCGCCGCCGCCTTGACGATGTCCTCCGTGATCATGACTTGGTCTCCCTTCCAGTCGAGAAGGACCTCCATCAACTCAGCCCCGCTATTACGATTCTGGGCTGCAGCTGCAACCACGGCTTCTTCCAAATGCGACCTAGGTTCCGCTCTTTGAAGCATGATCTTGAGAATATCAATATGACTCGAACGAGCGCATTGTTCGAGGGGTGTCGTCCCATGCGAGTCTCGATACGCCGTATCAATGTAGGGCTTGGGTGATTCTCGAGACACAGGCGCTCCAGCGTGATACGGATTCGATGAAAGCGCATGATCAATAAGCGCTGGGAGTCCCCAGCGTGCAGCCAGATGGAAGACAGACAGGTCAGAAGGCATCATCTTGTGTCCCTGCTGGGTGTAGTCTTTCCACCAACTATCGCGTATCTTCGAATCGATGGCGAAAAACTGACCCTGCCTCTCTTCAATCATAAAACATTTCGCAGCCATCTGCGCGTGTTCCGGCCAGAACTGGGTTGAATACGGAACAAGATCGCCGTCTTCCTTTGTATAGCCTCCTCGCTGTAGGGATGAGAACTTTTCAATTAGACATTCAACACAGCGGTTCGCGAGCTCATTGTGTGTCTGCAACTGGTTAACGAACCGCAACTTGCTCCCGATATCGCCCAACAAGAAGTCCTTCACAGACTGGTGGAGCAGTAGGACCTTCTCATCCTGCACCACTATCATTAACCGACAGGAGGCGATGATCTCAATCGTGAACTGGATACGTTCTTCTTCACCTTCGTCTTGGTAAAGACGGCATGCAGAGGCGAGCTCTCGCGTGCTGAAGGGCCGCCGTGCTACTATGACGAAGCTGAGGAGTCGTTTGATCACATCGGAATCCTCGTCTTGTTCAAGGGCAGCATCGAGGAGCTGTTTATAGAGCGATTGAAGTCCCGCGGGAAGCTTCTCAAGGAGTGCGACAGCTTTTCTTGATGGAGTCCTCTCCAGCTCCTGACATACCAAGCCGACCCAGAGGAAGATGCCGTCGGCTTTGTCGCGCAGCACCTGCATAATATTGCCAGCTAGGCTATCTGTGTACTTATTGTTTCTCTTTAGCCTGGCTACCTTCTCGTCAATGAACTTGTCAATGTCTCGCTTAGACTCGTCAAATGATACGAGGTTTTTCTTGGGAAATCTCGATAGAAACCGCTCGATTTCTGGATATGGTCGACTAGTGAGTAGAATGCTCACATTAAGCCTGCCACTGGATTGATCTCCTCCGAATGTTTCCTCGATCTGCTTCAGTAATGTCTCCTGCTCGTCTTGCGCGCACTCATCTAGGGCGTCGACAATGCAGTACTTGCGGCCTGTGCCTTTGTCCGCGCAGGCTTTTGTGAACATTGTCCAAACAGCATCGAACGAGTCGAATGCGCGGTCCTTGCGCTCCTCGTACTTGGGGAGGACATGCTCGATCAGCTGCGGGTGCTGCTGCACCAGCTGCAGGAGGAGCCCACGGACAATCGCCCTAGCGGTGTTACGTGCGTCATAACCAGAGTCGCAGAAAAAGTACGCGAGTGTTTTATTTGGAGTCTTGGAGAAGGCCTCTGATAGCCCCTCGGCAAGGAACATGGACATTGTCGACTTGCCCGTTCCCGGATTCCCGTACAGCCAGAGGACGTCCATCGGCGGCGCCGTCGGCTCCGAGACATCGCCAAGCCAAGCGGTCAGCTCATCAGTTCCGAGTATCCAGTCGCATGTGTTTTTGGCGCGGCTGCCTTTCTTCCGCTTCATCTCCTGCATGTCTTCGTATGGATCGGTGAGGAAGAGGTCTGGTAGACACTTTTTTGCCTCGGGCTTTTCTGCTAAAAGGTCTGCAGCTTGTTAGCGCAGCCTAGGAATAGTGGTGGAAGACTCACATTTACTATCGGTGATGACGGGTGTTGCTGCGCGTTTGTCAGCTATCTCATTTCTAGCAGTCCCAGGTTTGATTACGCACGCGTTCTTCGGCGTTGTATGTTTTTCGGGGCATCGAAACACAGCCTACGCAGCTCTGCAGAGACAGTCTGGAAGGAGCGGTCGTCGGGGCCGGAGTACTTGTTCAATCCAAAGTGGTCGGCTTGGAGCGAGACTCGGTCGGCGCCGTCGATGCAGGCGGACACTTCATCAACGACCTTTGTATCGTAAGCATATGCGGTTCTCACAGTCACCACAGTATTAAGCATACCATTCCTTTAAGAACCCCTCCAATCATGCCCCGTTTGCCGTAATTAGACTCGTATAATTCAAACAAGCAGGTGACAGGGATGGAGACGGTGTTGCACATCCGGCAGAAATCGTGAAGCCTGTCTCGTAGAGAAGGGTCGTTGGAGGCGAGTTCACGTACGATCCCGTCGTGCGCGCCAGCAGGGCGCAATAGTGAGGCCAGTACCTGCGACAGGAATTGGAGTTTGGAGCCCCGGAGTGGTGATCCCAGGAGGACGATGCCTGCTGTTGCCATCACGATGGACCTGAACCCTTCGTCCGAGTTGGCGTATAGGAGGGCCTGGGGTGTTAGTGTCACCTGTCACCCTGAGATCTCAGTTACTCACATGCTGAATGACGTTACCGCCCAAGCTGTGACCGACAAAGACGATCGGTCGGCTCGCCGTTGGCCCCTCCCGAAAGTCGCGGACACGGCGGGCGAGTTCTTCTCCACACAGCGACAGGCGTGTCCTTGGTGCGTCGGCGTGCCACGTCGAGTCGTAATTATAGAGCAAGATCCGCGAGTTCGGCACCACAGCCGGGAGCATATTGTCGTCCTGGAGCCATTTGACATGGCGTTCTGGAGGTTCCGGGTCCTTCCAAGTCCAGGACCAGTCAACGTTGGCACCGAGCCCGTGGACGGCGATGATGCTGGTGAGGTCAGTGAGTGACGTGGGGGCGGACGCATGGGAACGTACTCAACTTCGGGTTTGGTCCCCTCGTATATGATCTCTAGAGCTGGACGACTCTGCGGGGCATGTGAGGTTAGCAGGATCTTGTGCGTAAGGGGGGAAGATGTGGCAAACCATGGCGTCGATAACCGCTCGTGAAGAACTTGGAATAGATGCAGAAGGCTGATGGCTGAGAATTAGAAACAATCGTGCTAGAGATACAGCGTCGGCGATTGATTTCATGAGCGGGGACGCGGACTTTTACTCTGCTGGGTGGGAAGGCTACGCGCCTTGGCTGTATGGGCATCGTACGCGTTGTGTCGGATGGATACGATGCGGTTGGACATTACAATATGCATGTCAGGCGACACGCTTCTTAGAGGCCAATCGAGTCGTCAGGTAGCAGCTGTGGCGCAACAACCTGACCACGCCTGCCTGCATGCACACGGCACAACAGAAATCAGCGCCCACCAAGATGATAGGCACACGGTGATTCTGCTCGCAACCAACTTCGCCAGCGCGAATCTCGCGACTTTCCGTCGGAGTGTCAGCATCGTGCCAGGTGAGGACCGTTTTTCCTCCGTCTGGGAAGCCGCCATTGATGACCCGCCTCTAACAGCTGGCCCCCTTCACCGACCAAGCTTTGCCGGACAGAGTCACGACCCGTCGCGTCGAAGTTGACCTTGCAGACCTGCTGCCAGCATCGACACGGACGTCGGAAGATGCCCTGACGACCCTTGCCCCAAGCCTAGTCTACATCGACGGGAGCTTGATCTGCGCCGGCTTGCCGACACCCACGAGTGGCTGTGGATCGCGGGATGGCACATGCTGCCGCGCCCGCGGTATCAGCAACGCCTCCTCTATCGCGAGCGGTCAAAATAGGCGATGAGCTTTGGCTGCTTGCCGTGTGGCAGTCACAGTGGGTCACAGGGAGCTGTGACCTGGAGCGGCTGCATTCTGCCTGTCAATTAGACTACCCTGAGCGGTGTCCGCATCAGGTTTCCTCAAGCATCAGTGAATGATTGGAAGTGCCTGAGCTTCATGGAAGTGGTGGTCCACAACAAGCACACAGGCACCGACGACCTTCTGAACGGGGGAGAATACGGCACTTTTCGGTCATCAGGCTCGATCTCAACTAAGTCCAAGGAGGCTGGGGGCTTCCAGCGGCGGCCGATTGCTTACAAAGTGGCCGTTGACTATGAAGAATGCTGGAATATCCGATCGTCGACTCAGTAATGATATGTCCGCTCATCATCCGCATCAGCCTGCTTCCTTGTATCAAGACCGCGCGTCATACTCAAGGAGCGGCCACAAACGGATGGACCCAGGGAGCACACCCCGGGGCATTGTGCTCGACACTATTTAATTCTGGTCAGGCTTGCAACTTGCCACTGTCTGTCTAACCAGACTACATAGGGCCGGTCTATGAGCGACGACAATTCTCCAGCTACAAACCCACGGAATGAGTAGTTTCTTGCCTGGTCGGCTTCCAAGCCTTGCCGAATTTGATGCAGGCGTCCAATTGCTCACAAAGCGGAAAAAGCCTCTACGCCGCGGTCGTTCCCTAGCGCATGGGAAAAGGTACACAGTCGAGCAGTCCGACTTCATTATCTATGCCCGTCACGAGATGAAGTGGTCTTGGAACAAAGTCAGAGACGCCTTTGCGATGACCTTCCGGCAGGAACGAACTGTTCCTTGCCTGCAAGGGTGCTACTACCGGGCTAACATGCATATCCCTATGTGGGACGCCGAGGGTTTCCTTCTCTTCGGCGAGAGAGACGCCACGGAACCTTTGCAATTCAATCTCAAAGGCGCGCAAGCGCCGCCGGATGAAGACGTCGGTCTCGCACGTCGGCATCCGGAGGGGGCTGCCTTGTACAGCTGGGTTCATCCTTCGGTGCAAAGCCAGGCGCGCGCTTGGGGTACGTTTAGCGGTGCCGAACCATAAAGTTTTCGCTGACTTTCTTTAGCGTTGAAACGACAAGAACAGATACGGGAACGCGGACAAAGACGGGAGGATGCCTTGAAATCTAGTGGAGCTGCGAAGCCTAAATACCCAGACACCCTTCCGTGGTAATGCCATTGGATGCCAGATCTCGTGAGTGCCGTCATACTACTTGAGGTCTCAGGTATGATGGAGAGCGGAGAGGACCCGTGGCCTAGGTGAATGATAATATCCACCGGAGAATATCGATATGGTTGCTGCCTGCTGCCCTGCTGCTGCGCCAAAGCTCATCTGCCACATTGATTGAAGCATCTACTAGTCCTGTGTCTTGAACTTTCTTCAGCCTATGGCATTGCCTGCACTGGTACCCCTCTGAGTATTGGCCAGCAGGTGAGTATAAGTGCAAGTCCATGCCCACTTTGCTGAGTGACCTTCTCTCATTCATCGTACATCTTGAACTACAAACGACGACCCCGAGACACTCGAGGGATTATAGTCATTCCCATGCCGTCCATCAGCCACAAGGCAACCTCAGGCTCCGAGAACTCAGAGAGCAGCTGGGATGTGTATCTTATATTGGACTCGGATCTGAGTTATCTCAACGACCATGGAAAGCTTCGAGGCCAACTTTTCCCCAGCAATGTCAAGATCAGTATCGTCCCGGTAGTCTTCACAGAGACGCAAAGAGCGCACGAACTAGAAAGAAAGATTTATCTTCGAGCAGCGACTCAAGTTGAAAGGTTCTTCGTCGGCTCGCTCCTTGACACGCATCACTGCTTACAGGGCACACAAGGACAAAGGACATGGCGTCTGGCTGGGCAGGCGTATGCGCACTCTTTACCATGCTCCACAGGTTCAAGTTGAGATTGCAATTCTGCGAGAAGAAATACAAATGTATTGAGTTGACTGGCACTGCATTGCTGCTTGACTAAGCCGGCTAAAAGCCCTTTGATGTGCGCTCGGCGACTCAACACCGTAACTGGAATATAGTCCCCGGCACGGTCGGTCACAGCCAGATTTCGGCTCATACAAAGGGAGTGTCCTCAAGTTTCCGAAGCCATTCGTGGGTACTAAAGTTTCCAGACGAAGTCAGCAGGTTGATAGAGGATGCCCCCTTTCCTTTCCACCAGTACCCAATTATCCATGGAAACAGGTAAAGAAGGAAAAGGATTGATGCAGGCACCATGGTAATTATGAGAAAGCCGAATAAAAGCGTATCATCTCTAACGAACCCCTTGATACCAGCCCGTTACGGAACTTGCCCAAGATTCGCGCAAAGCTCGAATGCGACCTACTTAGGCTTTAACGCAATGATTCTTGACTCTATTAGTAGTACTTCGTTGTCTACCTTGCAGGCACGGCGAGAGTAAAATACATGGCAGATCATGGTGGGATTCTCTCCGAGATAGTGAGCTGGACGGGCAGAACGAAGTTTAAGTGAGAGTATAAGCGATGGAGGATTTGTAATGCCTACACCTAAGCCGTTGCGCCATGTGCAAAAAGATCAGGCGTTGATCGAATGACGAGCGATCAATTCAGGCGTAATAGCTGCATATAGGGGGAGACTGGACCGTGACACACTTGCTCAAGTACCCACCCAAGACCCAGGGATCGTCTAGATATCATATCCGATCCGCCCACCAATCGAGGCGCTCTCATGTCGTCCAAGGGCCCGGCCCAGATCAGCTACTTACCTTGTGGCCTGGTTGATCATCGCCACAACGCTCCGATCGACTGCTACTTGGCCGATGGTGGCGGTGGGCTGCATGGTCCACTTTCGCCGCTTCGATACGTGACATGGTACTGAGAGAATACTCATCTATTCATGGTAGTTACCATCTATAATAGAATACCCTGTAAAGTGCGACACACATCCAAACCAAGAGGTCGAGTTGGATCATCTTGCGCCCCGTAGCACGAGAACTCGATAAGAAGAGCAAACTTATTTTTCACACTGCCTCGATTTAAGGGATCAATGACCTCGCATTCCTGAAGCTTCCCGTCACCCAAATCAATATATGGCATGAAAGGGCAGAGTTTTCGAATAGGTGAGATCTCACAGACGGCTCCTGGTGGAAGTAGAAGACAGCTGTGATTTTGTCGATAATGGTTACCGTTCATAGCATCGTTTGTCCTTCGGGAATTTCCTTGAATAGGGCATATCCTAACGTGAGGGGTAGAGTGTTCTGAGCCATCAGGGAAGTCTGCCCATACAACCCTAATATTGTTGAGATTGGGCTTCGTCGATCTCCTCCACGCCACGCTTTGTGTAGGCTGGACGTCTCCAGAGACTGGGAGAATATTACGTCTTAGTATATGTCTACCGAGACGTTGTTTGGGGATTTTGGTGAAGATGTTGCCGTTGACATCGGTTCCATATGGATGATAATAGCGGTTTTGAAGTCCATGAGAGGTTGATGGCTTCTTGAACATATCAGTAACAATCCTGACCGCTATCCAGACTTTGAGGGGTTCCTCGTTCCAAGGGTCAGAATGTTCTTTCCAATAGCCGACAGGATCTTCGAGTCGTTTCTTCCAGATAGTCATGTCGCGGCCGACTAAGAACACTTTGTGTCCTTTGCTCATCAAACCCTCGATCCAAGGTGAATGTTCAGGCACGTCTCGGAGTAAGGAAACGAATTGATCCCTCGTACGCTTCCATTCTTTATCCCCCAAGATGTTGAGTGCGGCGAGAAAACTTGCGGCTTCTGAGCCCGAGAGGTAGTTTAAAACTCCTTCTGTAAAATGGGGTAGTGCTGCACAGAGGCGTTGAAGAGAAATATCGGACTCGCTCATGGCTCTTGGGTAATCTATCGAGTGGATGATGAGAGGTAAGTAATGGGTAGAAATAGTAGGACAATAGGGCAGCGCGCGACTTTATACTTACTTCGCAGATCCACTCTATCTCGGAGCCGTTTGGTTTCATCAAAGCGGTACGTCATATTCTACAGCAGCTGGAGGTTGTCGTCCTTGCTAGTGACCATGCTCATGGCTAGAGTCCCTCCAAGACTTTGAGCTGACGGCAGCAGGGCCGCGATGTAGGCGGAACGTTGCGGAACAACATCGCGCTCAGCAAATTCGCAGCCGCCGCTGGTTTCTTCCTCGTGCCCCTGCGCATCCTTGTCAACCCGTTAACTAGTTGGATGCTGCTGCTGCCGATGGGCAGACTGTACAGGACCACGTCAGCGGCTTTGCGGAAGCGGATGAGCAACCCCAATGCCGGCAAGGACATGCTCTCGCACTGGCTTCGCGCTTCCGAAGTATCAGGGACACTGAGCGTACGGGAGATCGAGGCGCAGGCGAATGTGAATGTGGGCGCAGGGGCGGAGCCCGTTTCCAGTACCTATCCCAGTTCCTCTTTCTTAGCCCCGCGCTGACTCCGCCTTGAAGCTGCTATTCAGAGCGTTGTGTATCACATGATCAGGCATCCCAAGGCTTGGTCGATGGCCCGCGACGAGATCGATGCGGCTCGTGCCCAAGGGCGCTGCCAACATCGCGTTGTTTCGTCGCACGACGCCCAGAGCCTGCCTTATGTACAAGCTTGCGTAAAGGAGTCGCTGCGCTTGTTTAGCCCAACGACCATGGGCTTGCCTCGTAAGGCCCCGAAGGGCGGCATCACTATCGCAGGCCGACACTTCGCAGAGGGCACCACTCTCAGTGTTTCTTCGCAGCAGGTTTGCGCGCTGTTGGTGAGCCGGTTCACCACGGAAGGCTGACACCCACAAGTGCAGTGCACTTATCGACGGACATCTGGGGAGCTGATGCTCACCAATGGCACCCGGAACGCTGGATGTCTGGCTATACAAAGGAGTTGGGGGAATACTGGTTGGTGGTAAGTTATCGCACGATTTACGGACGCCGCGCCAAGAGCTAAGGTGACAAGTTTTCCGCTGGGTTTTTGACGTGCCCGGGACGTCACCTTGCGCTGATACAGGTCTCTAAAGTGGTAGCTTCTCTAATCCACTGCTACGACATCCGTCAGGTGGATCCGGACAGCGTGTGGAGGTACCAGGCTAACTTCACCGCGCTGACACACTCGTGGCCGGTAATGGTGTGTTCAGACGCTCCATGTTGAAGACAAATAGCAAGTTGAGATACGATGATGTTGGATCCCACGAGTGATTCCAAACTGACGTTGTAAAACCCCGCTCATGTGACGGCCCGGATCTACAATACCCCGATGACGTTACAACGGTATACGAAGGACAGCGTACTCTGGCAAGTGCGAACGTAGCTGCTCGGCGTCGAGAACAGCCTTGCTACGAATGTTGGAGACCCTAGTTCTTATCAAGCTGCTTGACAAATTTTGCATGTAAAATTGTGGTGTTTTGGTTACTATCAACGCGGTATTCGTGCGTGTCGCCCTGCTCCCTCAACATGCGAGAATTTGCCTGAGAGTTAAATCCTCCACAGCGTCTGTTTTCATGAAAGCGTACATAACCAAACGACGATCAAGACTTCGATCATTAGTTGCATCATAGGAAAAAGCAGAGTGGGTACTCGGATCTTCCCGAGCGTTAGTCATGAACGCTACGGTTGGTTCCGACTAACCTAGATCACACAAGCCCGCCAGCTCAGGTGGAGTCGATCTGTTGTTTCTGAGCTGAGCTAGTAGGAGTCGCGCGTAATTAACACTCCTGTCGATCAGCTGCTCTGGTGTAAGTGGATGGCGCCATTGATAAGTCTATCTAAGTTAGCCCGGTTCGCAGAATGCACGAGATGCACTTACAGGACTAAAATATTTAACCCAGTAAATCAGCCTCCAGCTATCCTTCTCGAGGACCGAGAGAAGAACAAGAGTGGCAAAAAATCCATCGGTTCTATCTTTGTCAAAGTCGGACAGTGCGCTCTTGATTCTACCAACTATGCCTCTCTCTTGGTCAGCCACATAAGCCTCCAAATGCTGATCCAGTTGATTTTGCAAAACCCTGGGAGCAGGGCGTTGGTCGAAGTAAGGGTGATCAAAGTCTTCTACAAGTGGCGTTTGGTAGCATTGCCATCCCTTCATCAGAAGGCGATTTGCAGTCCATAAGTGGAATGCTTTTGAGAGAAGCGACTGGGTTGCTTTAGCCTTGAATTCAGACAGTGAAGTTGCGACGTACGAATCTTTCAGTTCTTGCTAAGTCCCAGAGCTTTATCATGAGGCTGTCTTCCATCTCTTGTATGCAAGCTGAGGAATTCCGTTGGATATATTCAAGGAGATGTTGGCATCCCCGTAACCTCGCGGCCGGTCCCTCCAAGCATACCCAGCCGTTGTAGGTCTTGCCCCAGATCCTCTTGTACTCTGTCGCGGTGGGATAGAAGAACTCGGCGTGGACACGGAGGGTTGGCCCGCGAGAAAAATGGAATAGACCTAATATCCTATCATACTGCCGAGGGAGAGAATCGATCCCCGCCCATTGTGTTTTGTAGGAATACGATACATCTTTCCCTGTTCCCAGTTAGTGGGATCAAACCTGTGAATGTTAAGAGGACTTGCATTTGCTGAAAATACAAAATTGCACGACATCGGGAACCATTCGTGGGTTACTGATAGGATATAATGTGAATGGTGGTTGTTGCCATTGTGGCTGCTGTCGTTGTACTTGAGGCTGATGTTGCCCTGACGTATTCCCTTGTTGGTCTGCCTCCGTACGCTGAATGATAGACTGTCCCCGTCAGTGTGGCCCACTCTGCGAGGGGGTGGAATTACGTTGAAGCACGTCCTCCAACTCCCTACCTGCGTCATTTCCGATGTGGGTTGATCTGTGATTGAAGATGATTGGCACGGAGGGTGAGATGGGAAGGGCCCCAAACTGAGCGTTCTCGTAGCGTCCTGGCTGGTAGGCACTGCCGAGTTGTGGGGAGCCAAGTCCGAAATTGCTTCATGGCTCATTGCTGGCATCGGGTTGGGGCCAGATGCCCCTGCGTTAAAGTTCAAGCAGTTGTCGATATTGAACATCCCAGCACCATAGAACACTGGATCGTCCCCGAATGGCGCTGAGGGAGACATCGTTTCAGAGACCTCGAGTGGAAGGCTCGCCTGGGAGGGTCCAGCGCGCCCGTTGGAGACGTCGTTTGGTAGCGTCTGCCGGCTTGCACGGTAGGCTTTCTGGCTTTTGGACGTTAACCGGTTCACCATGGCTTTCGCGTAATACATTTTCAATGTATCCTGCTCGTCGGCATGTTGTTCCTGATGCCGAATGAATTTTCGCACCGTTATTTGCATTCGGCCGCAGAAAACGCAAGGTTCTCTACACTCGACATCTGCGCGTTGTAAGTAAGTGTATGCTGTTGGAAGTAGAAGTCTGTCACCTACGTTGCTGATAGTGCCGGGAAACGTGTCCCCTCCGACTTGGAGGAAATCGTGCAGGTGGCTCTCGAAAGGTGGCCCGTGCTGACTGAGCCATGTATGGGTGCCTAGCGGAGCCCTCTTCAACATGTCGCGCGACCTGCAGGAACGCGATCCAACAACCAATTGTCACGTCTCCGAAAACACAAACGCGGAACACATGAGCTCCAAACGGGATCAGGCTGGTCAGCAAAGATGGGGTGAAGATGGCGAGGATGGGCATTTAATCGAGGCCCCCCCCCCCCCGATTATCGCTTCCCGTCGCCGCCATGCTTCTCAACCATGTCGGAGCCCGCCCTTCCTTCGCGAGTACGACGTTTTGACCCGGTCCAGCTGGACGCGCTCTGCTTTACCTGGAACGAAGGCTTTGATTCAATCACGAATCTTGGTACTATGACCGCCGTTTACCAAGCAATTGAGCAAAGGTTATGAAAAAAGGATGTCCCGCGTTTGAATAAGAAACACGACGGAGAGCTGGTGACAGGCTTGCACATCCAATCGGCTAGCCGGTCCAAAATGGAGGAACTCGCTGAACACGAGATCTCGTTTCTAGAGGGGCTCGCCTTTACTGGACTGCACAACGATGTGGTTGAGTTTGACCAGAATCTTCTCAATGAAGCGTTCGAACGCTTCGCACCACCCCTCCTGTCCGACATAACCCTGCCACGCCTCTCCTTTCTGCGGACATCAGGCCTATCGTCGGAGATCAGCAACCAAAGCTGCCATTTCCTGCATCTAACCTACCAAGAGTATTTTGCGGCGCGTTATTTTGTACGACAGTGGAAGGCAAGCCTACCCAATACCTGGCTGCCCGCCAGTGGGGATACTCAAGACGCTGGTCCTACGCCCATCGAATATCTCAGGAAGCACAAGTACATAGCACGGTATGACATCCTATGGCGCTTCTTAGCCGGTTTGCTTGACGCAGATGGCAAGGCGAAGGAGTTCTTCGACGTGATCGGAAAGGAGCCGGTCGACCTCTTGGGCCTAACGCATCAAAGGCTCGTCATACATTGCTTGAGTGAGGTGCAGGCTCTGCCGCAATCGAGTTTTACACCGGTTCGGACAAGACTTGAGGATGACCTGGTGGAATGGCTGTTGTTCGAGTGCAAATGCCGGAACGAGTCGTCTTTGGCACGTGAAATGGAGCTTCCGCCGCTGGTCTTATGCAGGGCAATGCAATCGGCAACCGATGACGGCCGAGGCAAGTTTGTCAAAGCCTTGACAAAACGACACAGCGTCCCGACGTGCGTAGCCGATCTGCTAGCATCTTGGCTGGAACCTCATGCACCGAGGGAGCTGATAAGGAGGATCTTGGCCATTCTGGGTCGACATTCATTCCTATCAGACGAGTTACTCACGCGGGTAGCGGCGGGGCTCAATGATAGCGACTGGCGGATCCGACGAGAGGCGGTCCAGGCGCTCACGAGCTGATGACCAGTACAGACCCGACAGTTGGTGGGACGGCCGGCTTCCGCAAACTGAGCCCCGGTAGGACTAGCCATCCCACAGCCTGAATATGCGGTTCGTTGTGGCCGAGAGCTATGCGTCGGTCGCTCAGCGTGGGACGCTGGTCCAAGGTCGCGGAGGTTAAAAGACCATGCTCCCTCGCTTCTGGCCGTCTCCTGTTTCCTCGACCATACAGTATTTCCAGTCAGACCCTGCGAAGCGGGTACAGAAACATGGCACGAACTGTGGTTCCGAGCGTTGCGTTGGTTATGGCCCTCTTCCGCCTGGACGACTCTGCAACTGACATAGTTTCAAGACCAGCCAGGCCCCTTTGAGGCACGTCCTGGCATGTGCCGACAAACTGCGCTGCTAGATGCACCGTTATTTGGCATCACGCTTCCGACTACACCGAGTAATGCAGAGCCTCATGTCGCGCATCCACTGCGTGTTGAGAGGGTTTGGATTCCTCGGGCCATCGCGTTGCCCGATAGCAGGCGCGTCTTTGCGTGCCACTTGGCATTGCAACAGGCGCTCCCGTAGACGGACTCCTCGTCAAAGCAGAGTGAGTGAGGATTGACCCGTGGGCTGCTGGTTACTACTGGGATGTGTCCGCCGGGACGCCCATTTCGCTGGTGATAGCCAACCACGAACGTGGCGCGTAGTGGCTGTGCTACCAGGTGCTATGCCACACAGTGATCGGGCGACATCGTAGCGGCTGGCTGTACTTCCTGACATCCAATCACATGGGTTGTTTGGTGTTTCTGAAAGGGTAGGAGGTATTACGCAAATGAAGTGTGAGATTTTGCTCATTGCCAAAGCAGCATGTGAAACAATAATCCCACACATCTCGCCAGAATTGACGACGGACAAAAGCGGTTGTCAGCAATATATAAAACGCCAATCACCACCCTAAACGACACCAGCACATACAATTCAATGAGCGCACGCAAAAACACGCAATGGACAAAGCTGCGGCAGGAAAGTGGGCGGGTAATGCTGGCTGTCTCATATAGGCCTCAGCGACTGCTCGAACAAGTTCGCGATCCAGAGGAACCACATGGCATCGTGGTACTGATCGGAAACTACATAAAGTCCCTCTTTCTCAACAACATGTGTCCATGGAGCAGGCACCCCAGCAATGCGAGACACCACGGTAGATATCCGGGTAGATTGACCTCCATTCAATCGACTGTAAGGACGCTTGTGCCAAACCTGGCATCAGATTGATGGTTTCCTCTTCTTCGGGGGCAGTAGCCTCAAACTTTGAGTCTTCGAGACTAACCATGTTGCTCGACGATAAGCTTTTCCTTGCCCCTATCAGTCGCTTGGTAATCATAAGCAGTGTCCTGTTTGAGTAAGGCGCCTTCTTTACATCATCAGTACCATTGAAGGTAAATTCAAGCATATGTATAAAAGAGCGCGCTGTAATACGTCAAGAAAAAGTATTCAGATCAGGCTAGACAGGGCTACCCTATACTCCGCCGGCGACCTGACACCCCGATGGACACGCAGATGTGAGGTTCGCATCGACTAGTCGGACTTCGTTCTCTCCTCGCACCTGTGCTTATGGTCAGTTGCGTTGCTGCTCACAAATTGCTAGCACGCCCCTTTGCCTCCTTAATCTGACTAGACAAGAGGCTCTCGACGATGCCTACTGTTTGCAGCGTGTCATCAACTCTTGCAGACGAATCCTCATCTCCATAGCTCTTGTATGATTGCTTCACAGTTTGAAGCTTGTCTATCTCGGTTCGCAAGATATCACGAAGTTCGGAAAATCTCGTGGCTTGTCTATCGCTATTATGGTCAACACAACCGTCTACAACGAGCCTTGGGATCTTACTGTTGTGTTTTGTCCATTTTGCACGTTGTCGTGGCTGCAATCAGCTTGGACAGCTTGAGAAATCACGCTTAATCCAGCGTATTACTGTGGCGTTGAGCGCGGGATGGTAGATAGGAATGCTCGGTCAATGTGCCTCAAGGTGCAGAGTGTTGTTCCTTTAATGGGCCGGATTGCGGATTGCGGATTGCGGAATAGAACATTGGTGTGGATATTCCTTGCTATATCCACCTTGCCGGAACCCCCCAATGAGTATCGATCAATAATAGCGCAAAGGCTTGGTTGGGCCTCGCACGCGCAGGAGACGCCGATCACGGGTTTTATCTCCACTTTCGCACGAATATAGTCATGTGTGTAACTCCGTAGATAGATCGCCTTCCCACCCAAGCGCTTGAAATCTCAATCCGGAGAAAATGAAGCTCAAATCGACAAGCCCAGCATCATTATTACCCAGTGCACACCACTGCGTCATGAAACGCACCTCAACACAGTCCGCGGCCACTGGTCCACGCCTATTGGGCAAGCCCAGCGAGCACAGTGGGGTCGTCTGTTCTTGGAAGCCACGTGAGTTCTTGCTTGGAACGGCGACAAGAGAAGCCCAATTACCCGGCCAAGGCCCAGAATGCGTCCGATGCCTGGCGTTGTGGTACAGAATGTCTTAAAGGGCTAGGGACGGTTCTTACGCACTCCTTGTAGCATAGAGAGGCATTATACCACTACCAGCAGCGCCGTGATTGTGTCGCCGACGAATGAACTCGCATCGGCTGCGAGGAGCGCAAACGGAACACTGGTGATTGATTGGTGCGGTCTGCGCCCTAGCTCCACATTAGTACAACGAGTGGTCTGCCATTGGCTCAGCGACGCAGATTTTGTGACGCAGCGGGTAGAGTTGAGAGCCGCCAAACTTTGCTGCCGAAGCTTTGAACTAAAAATCCAGCTTACATCATTGAAATGGGTCGACTTGAGTACATCATACATATATAGGAACACGGTTCTTGGCTGGTTCACAAGTCTTGAGGAACCTGTTCAAACTGTCCAAAAGTAATATGAGTCAATTCATTAGTTGCACCATTGATGATGGTGCTCTCATCGTCAGCACCAAACCGGTGACCATGCGGTATGCGACCATTAGAAGCGGGGCGGTAATCGTTCTATGTGATAGCGACGAGGTACTCCGATTTGTTCTGGAGTCGAGGGGAGCTTGGCGGGACAGACGCGGAGGCAAGGCAGGCGGGTTCTCTGAAACGTCAACCGCCGATGCGAATGGCAAAAACTCAGCTTCTTCTGTCGCTACCCCCTGTCTGGCACAGTTAGACGGCAGTTTCGAATTTGTCGGTGTTCAAGACGCAGATGCGTCGGCAGAGGTACCGCATCATCATGCGATTTGTCTTCTTACAGACCTTATCTAATCCCACCAGAACGTATTTGCCAACTCACCGGGTCTGAAAAGGAACGAAATGGCGGATGCACATGGGAAATCTCAAACTTGAATGCTCCTCAGGCACCGTTGTCCACGGCGATAGCAACGGCAAGTTTGAAGCCTTGGCGTGTCGAGGATATTGAGCTATTTGGGAGAGTTTATGACACTGCAATGACTGAAGGGATTATTAGTGCTTTTCTACGGCTCCTTGGTTCACCGGAACGTTTCCCGATGTGCCACAGGGGTAAGATCCATGGTCCACAATGGCATCAGAGGATGGACAAGGGAGCCGGGGAGACCACGACAGCTTTCTCTAACGCCAATCTCCGCCAGATAGTGTTCACGGGCTCGCTCTTATTGCTGCCGCATAACGCCGTGCTGCATACTTCGAAGTCGTACACGGACCTATCACCAGGCGAGACCGGATCAAACATACTTTGCTCGCGGCCAGGAATGGCTGCGGTCGTTCTATCGCATCTGTACCGTCGTCTGATTGGGACACTTGGCTGGAAATTTTTGGTTCACCGCCGAAGAAGTTGAATTATCCCCAGGAAGTAAACTCGCACAGGTGCTTTGAATCATTATACATACTATCTACATAGTTCATACATTCTACGGTTAAGGGGCTCGAGGTTTCCTCGCATAGACGTTTGGCCTGCCGTCTGCGTTAGCTGCAGTTTAAAGCTCGGTAGTATCGAAGCTCCACTCACACCACAGTATACGGTCGGATTTTGAAGTCCCGGCAAGCTTTCCTCATGTTCGCGACGAGTAGCTGGATCTCCGTGTATTCCCATCCCATGATCTCTGCGAGGAGGAAAAGTGCGAAGCCTTCCAGACTCTCCTCCATGAAGGCAAGATTGAAGGAGCCGATCTCCTTGAGCCGCCGATCACTGCTCCATCCGCCACATGGCAGATAATAATCTTTCTCGACAATGTCTTCGAAACCGGCGTCCAGCAGGTAGTTGCGCATACGGCCGTCCAGTCCAATCCTGGCCGTCTTGCCAAGACGGTCAAAGGCTTCGAAGAAGACATTGGCCCACTGCTTGAATACGTGGTCAGGATCGTCGCGCACCTCGGGCACGTCGCTCTGTAACTCAATGTTGAGTTCGAAATGCTCCAGGTAGCCGCCGGGCACAAGTGCCTTGTACGCCTGGCTGTACAACCTTGTCCAGTCGTCTATGCTACCGTAAAGCATGCGGATGTGTACAAAGTCAAAACTCTCGGGTGTCCATGTCCAGTCGAGTTGCGCGTCGTCCAAGTGGAACTGGCAGTTGGGGGGCACCCAGGCCGGCTGAATGGGACTTATGTCAAAGCCAATGACCTCGGCCGACGGGAAGGTATCTGCCATATCGATGGCCCAGATGCCCGTGCCCGTCCCGACGTCGAGGACCTTAGATGGGCTGCCTACAGGCGCTTCGTATAGCTGGTCATTCAAGAGTCGTGTTATGTAGTGATGGGCGATATCCAGCCCAATCTTTTGCCTGTCATCGTTGGGACCCCAGTACTCTGTCGTTTTCGAGCTCTGGAATGTCCGCCCGTGGAGCTGGCGGTACTCGAAGACACTGTCGGTAAGGGAAGCAGTCGAGGTCGCGATGCTGTGACGTTCAGTGTCATGATCCAGCAGGGACAGATCAAGGACGCGTTAATTTAAGTACCTGCCCCCGTCTCCAAACCCTTCATCGTCGTTTTCTTGCTCATCTGCGTTCTAGGGAACATGCCAGTCAGCTGCGAGGCAATATGCTGTCCACTTCATGGGAGCTCGGCGTGGCTACTACGAGAGCATCAAGTTGAAGTGTCGAGGCAAGCGTACAAGCACAACTGTGCGAGTGCAAATAGCACACAGAGTAAAGAACGTGGACTGGTCCCTAGGTGTCGAGGACTTGTTTGCAAGGTGTTTCAAACAATGTGCAATAATCCCTTCGGTGAACACATGGCAAGGAGTTTAGACAGTGGGCGACGAAATGTTCTCTGGTATTTGGCGCGCGGGGAGTGAATGTGACCACCAGACATGGCTACAAGATCAACTTTGAGTACATCTGGAAATGCACTGGGTGTGAAATCGAGGTCAAACGGCACTCGCGAAGTGTCAACCCACGTAAGATATGCTGTGTATTTTGCAAGGGAATTCTCAAGCAAATCAAGCCCTTAGCGAGGGGCAGTGCCAAGTTTGGTGAGCCAGGGCTTGTGGAGGGATAGGGAGCTGTCCGAGGCGACTGTAGGGCTTGTAGGACTTGAGATTCGTCACTTCTGGGTACGTAATCTGTGTGTTTATAAAAATACTCGCCGAAAGGGCTCATATTATGTAGCTCGTGTCTTTATCAAGCGCTAACCTTCTCGCCAGTGCCGTAAGCAATGTTGACGACTTTGAGGCCCGATTTAGAGTTGGTGCCCAGCACCGAGCTACCACAGTTAGTCCGGTTGCTAACAGTGAGGTCGAGTTTGCACTCAACGTCCTCGCCGAACTTGCAAAGAGGGTCTTGGATGTTGATGAGCTTAGTCGTGCTCTCAAGGAAGCAAGCAAGCAGGTGGGCATAGCTCCGAGCAATACCATTCTGCACCGACAATAGAATCGAAAGACATAGAGGCGTCGGCGGGCATGCAGCGCAGCTGGTTCTGGGCCTCGGCTCGACTTCGTCCGGCGCGTGACGCGTTTTGCCGATGAGACGTTTCATTACTTTGAGTGACACTCGGGGCACAGCGTCCGGTTTGTGGCGATTCGAGAAGCGGGTTATCATGGAACGGCACATGAGGTGGTTTTATATATTGCGGACAACCGCTTTTGTCCGTCGTCGCTGTCCTGACTCAAACCAGCCTGCTTACTCGGCCAGCCCGATAATGGCCCATCAAGCGATTGACGTGGGCCATAAGGTGCCAAAGAGGTTGGCAGTGTTCGGTTGCTGTCGAACTGACAGAATGGACACGAATATTTCATAAACTGGCTTCTTCTCAAACACGAGCGGACCCTATACCAGCTACAGAGTCTGTTGCTTTTGTCGGTTGCCCTTTCAGGTGAGGCATGGAGGGACGCAGACCATTCCCTTATGCAGCTGCCTTGGTGGAGCTTGGAATGATCCATTTCGTAGTATACGTCTTGTCCTCGCAAACCCCCCGTTGGCAGCGACTGTCATCTCTACGGTAAGTGCCAGAAGGGTGATGGGGTCGAGCCTTACCCGGATGCGCGGGGGTGAGCGCTACCAGAATGCGCGAGTATATGTGGAAAACACTCCCCACTTGGTGCTGTTAGCAGTTCATTACATTCTCGCGAGGTGACGGAGACCTATCTCATGAGCATTGGAGCCAAGAGGCCTGCCTGACTGTGGAGTCGTCGAGTCTCGAACGTCAGGGGGCTGCTCCGTGGGATTATTTAAGGGCCTGGCTCTCCTCAATCCAAGGAGATTCCACATGCAACCTCAAGATGACACCTTATCAAACTGAACCAATGGGCAGCCATCCCGAAGGACACCCCCATCGTATAGCCTCGGAACTCTATCCTACGCAGGAAGAATGGGATTTTATAGCACCCTCAGCAGTACATTCTCCTGAAAGTTTGACCCAGGAAAACAGTCCCACACGATATGTGTCCGAGCCTACAGTCCCTTACAACTTACGACCAAGAGGTGGCATAGCCAAGACATGGAAAGTTGAAGAGGTAGGATGGAACGCAGTCATACGAAACACTGGGCGTACCTCCTCTAAGAGACGAAGACGGAAACGCTGCGCTAATTCGGGCCACCTTGAAGTTGAGGATTTCCAGCGGGCATTTTACGGCTATCGACCAGATCACTCCCCAGCGTTCGGCCATCAAACTAGGAAGACAAGATCTTACAAAAGGCGAAAATTAGTCACGAAACGAGCTGTATGAGAATGAGCCCTTTAATATCCGGTATAGTCGCTTGCATAATATCAAAAACAACCGAGGAGCGATTCCAAATGGAGGGTACTCGGGAGCAATCCGAAGAATGGCACGGCAGCAGAAGACACATACCCTATTATACTTGACTCCAGAATACTGTACTATTGCTGGACATATGTAACGAGGAAAACCATGGGCCTGCTATGCAAGTAACCGGCTCACGAGACAGAGCACTTGGATGACACTGCTCCCTCATCTTCACCCGAGTTGCCAGCCGCTCGGCTCGATACTGGCCTGCGGCACTGATGATATTCATTGGCTGTACGTGAGCCTAAGAATGAGGCGGTGTCTGACATCCGAAAGGGTTCGGCGCGGCTGTGGGAGGCCGGTCAACTTCATGCCTCCCCTCCCCCCGCCCTTTCCCATGGCCTGCATCTGGGAGGAATGCTACTTCTTGTAAAAAATCGGAAATGATGACCGTGAAAATTGATGTTATAATAACTGCGTTTCTCTACTCCTCATTACGGCAATTTTTGCTTTGGATTTAACTCCACTCGAGGCTCAGAAGTCCGCTAACCGCCTGATGACAACTACTGGCCGCAGACGGAACACTGGATGCTACCTCGAACTTCCTGTTCACTGTGGTCGATGACTGCGGAATCCTACAGTACCATCGACGGTATGCGCTACATACGCTGCGTAGCAATACTACAAGAAGGCTGTGCCGGTGCTGCGCCGAGCATAGTAGACAAGGGCGCCAGTCTCAAGGCCCCATGGCAAGAACCCAGCCAGAAGCGGATGTACTTGACAGCGCTCCTTTTTGGTGTATTGAAGAGCTCCAGGTACCCCTGAATAGAGCTGTCGACTACATCCACTTTTGACCGAGTCCTTGCCAGGGTACTACCAGGAGCCCCGGTCTGTCTCTTCCGCACCCCAATTAGCTTGGCTGACCGTCTCCTCTTCCAGCATTGCTCTAGCCCGGTCCCCTGATATGTTTCCTCCACCCTCAACTTAGCTTCGTTGATCATCTTTCGATTTGATTCTACCCTGGTCGATGACCCTGGCCTGTCTCTTTTGCACTCAAAGAAGTTTCGCTGATCATCTTCTACTCTCGTCAATAACCCTTGGCTGCGGGTCGCAGCCCATTGTGGCTCGTACACCAATCAAGGGCAGGGAGTTTGGTGCGTTCGATCACCTAGTCGCCCCCGCAGCTGCATTAAGCGTTCCATCGCCAGATAGCGTGCCTAAGAAAAAGTATTCCTGACTTTATTCGAACTGACAGGCAGATTGATGACTGCGTCGCCATTAAGAGCACTCGTACTGTATCTGTGGTGATGTACACGGCAAAAGGGGACGACTGATAGTTTCGGTTCCTTTGTTTATATGCAGCCTATGATCCAAGACAGATTTCCCAGGCGTTGCTGCGTGAGCACCACGTGAACCCTTCAAACCAACGGTCCCCAATGTCCCAACCCTGCGTCAACACATCCCGCTTCTCCTTTTCACCATCATCTTCCCAAATGATATCGAGAGGGCCGACGTTGGGTCCGATACTTCCGATGCTATCTTCTCTCCACTGTTCGTAGTGGTCGTAGTTTCTCTGTGCTTGCTCGTAGAGTTCATGAACGGGCTGTAAGATATCTCTGATGGTCCTTGCATCCTGGACGGTAATGATTATCCGATTCTTCTGGTCGTAGTCCGTCAAGCAAAGACGTATCCGCCCAAGGTTCAACACTTGAGACAAATTGGCTTTCCCGGTGCCATTCGAGTTCATGGCTTCCGAGAGAGGCATGTCCAATCGCCAACCGACGTCGTTCAAGATCCAGCGGGATGAGGGCTCTTCCTTGGCTGGGGCTGGCGGTGCGAATAGGTTGAGCAAGACGATTCTGCAGAAAGCCAGCGATGCCGCAAGCAATTGAAGATAGAACACCGGCATTATTGGGGCGGTATAGTAAGGCGATCGTAGACAAGCTTGAGGAGGTTTTCAGGTTGAGAAATTCAGGGACGAGGACCCGGGGAGCTCCTGAACTTATACTCGGTCCCTCTCAGCCATTTATCTCCATGCAGCTGCACGAATTATCTCGGTGCTTTGAAGGGTGACCAAGCATCCGAAGACTCAGCCCCAAAGTTAAAGGGGGTCAAGGCGATTCGGCGACACGTCGATGCGCAGAAGGCCTGAATGAGTCTGACCAGACCTCCTGCATATGTCCTAGCAAGCAAGCGACGTCCTTTGAGAGTTTTCTCCCTCTCTTCGACTTCAATGTGCTGACTTCGGAACAAAGACATAGGTCCTCGCCCATGTACCTGCATTGCCCAGCGTTCCAGCTCTCGTTGAGAATGCTTTGTGCTCATCAAACATATTCTCTCAAGAAGAGTTGCAGCACTTTCAGCTTGACTACCCCGTTATCAAATGGAAGAGACGTCAATACCATTGAAGGAAAAGCATCTAAATAAAAGAGCGCGCTGTAATACGTCACAAAACAGAATGCAGAGCAGGCTACATAGGGCTACCCTATACTCCGCCGGCGACCTGACAGCCCAATGGACACGCAGATGTAAGGGTTCGCGTCGACTATCCGGACTCCATCGTACTCTCCTCGTACCTGTGCTTATCGTCGGTTGCGTTGATCAAGGCCTTGGTCTCCATGAAGGATGAGAGACCTCATACACGAGCTCATCACAAAGCTGAGAGGCTTCTTTCAGAGTGTTCGCCCCGGAGGGTTTCTTGGCCGTGCCCGAATTTGGAAGAAGAGGACGTATCGAAAGAAAATTCCTGAGTAGAGAGATGTTCTATAGTATCTTGGCGTGTCCGTTGCGATAACAGATGCTCGAGGGTACTATTCGAATAATCATTTCGTACTTTTCTTACTGCAATAAGTTACCCACTACACAATATCGTTACTCATCACCTCAGGGGGAAAAAGAGGAACTAGAAGATCTCGACATTGAAATATCAGGAAAACAACGAGGTACGTTTGATGGCTGCGAGCACACGTGGTGTGCCTAGAAGGGAATCATCTCCGTCTGCTGTGAATGCTGGACGCATCGGCTCATAATCCTCGCCGTCCTTGGGCTCCAAGCTGTCCCTAAAGGGCCTCTTCTTGATCGAGATGATGCACCCTTGTCCCTTCAGTACCCTTATAAGTTGGGAGCTTGGCTGTATGTCCGGAAGTTCTTTAGCGGCGTAGCTCTGGAATGGCGCGCTGGTGATTTCCGCCAGTTTGGCCGCGCGTCGTCGCAGGCCTTGGGGTTCAATCGTATACAGGTTGAACTGGAGAGTATACATGCCCAGGCTGTGGACGGAAAGGTTGCCAAAATGGAAGAAGGTGCCTTCGCGGCCGGACTCATCCTTACCAAAGAACGGGTTGCCGACGAGAGAGCCGGTCATGCGACGTTGATGCTTGAACTCGGCAGGCATCTCGATCGACAGTCCCTGTCTCGTCGTAGATCTCTTTGGTCATCACGTAAGGCTCATAGCATAGATACTTCTGACTTCCTCCTGGGACAGCGCGTCGCTTAGGACATGCAGTTGCAACACCGGTGGCGGATCAATGGCTCGTCGATCTCTCTCGTCGGCGCCACAAGCTCGCGCTGCCATAGGCTGCTGTCGAATCGACAACTCGAACTTGATATTCGAGACAAGATGGGCCCGGTCTTCCCCGAAAAGATTGGGAATTGCCCCGCCCACATTGGCGGCTCGTCGTTCCTGCGCAGACGCGAGTGATTCCATGCGTCCAGTAGAACGCGAAGATAAAGGTGAAGCGTTGGGTGGTACAATCCCTTGCAATATGAAGACGCTGGTGGAGAGTATCCCCGGGACTCCGCCGCTTCGAAATGTTCGTCACTATTCGGTTCCGTTGTTCGATCAGCTGAGGTTGATAGTGGTGCTGATGCGTATAACGAATGCTCTGATCTGGCGTACGCCGGAGGTATCCGCCAGATTCAAATTGGGGCTCGGCTTCAATCATTCCAGATACTTTTTCCATCCACATATTACGTATTTGTAAGTAACTTCTTTGTACACCCGTGTATTAATCCCGTTTGGACTGCCGGTACCAGGTGTAACAATTAGAAAAGCTGGCCTATGGATGTGACGGGCAACGGCAGCTCGCTCGCAGGTCAAGCGTTGTCAATGAGGGAGAGAGTAAATATTCTGTGAATAACTTGCCAAAGATATCAAAGGCCACAGTAGATTACTAACCCAGTCTCCCACTTGTGAAGCCGCATACGCTCCGCTACACAGATGAAAGCTAGCGCACCTGAATCTGTCACGCCATCTAGGCGACGGCCAGAAATCAACATTTGATCCAGACGCAAGCTCCGCAACAGATATAGTCGCTTCCTTTTGAGTTCGAACGTGATACAGTACCTCTCCTCTCGCTATAAGACATTCCGCCCGGTGTGTTCGTGTCGTCCCGTGGCCGGAAATGACACCTGCCCTGAGATGCAGCGAGATGCTGCCATTAGAAGCACCGAGCAGAGTTTGCCGAAGTCTGCAGAGCCCACATTGGGTGACTGGGGCAATTACATAGCGACAATGTGTACGCATCTTGAAGTCAACTTCTTGACACTCTATCAAGGACAGCGTCTCGGAATTCGGAGCGTCCATTACGGGAGAGTGGCTGAGCTTGTTTAATGGCATCTATCCCTCTACCGATACGACATGTTCAGCACTGTCTAATTACAGGAATATTGAATGGAAAATAATGCCTCGCCCATTAGACGATTATCCGCGTCCTACCCATGACACTGCCCAGTCACCTACATGGGTCAATCGAATTCGCGTGTCTCGATTTCGCGTAGAACCCCACGCGAACTACCCGGATAGCACACTCTACACCAATACTAGATATCGCTTAACAGAGCTGGCACGGCAGGCAGCTATCGACAGGCAAAATCAGGAAATCGACAGCCGACCGATCATTCCCCCAAGAGAGGCAGCGAGGCGCCGTGTTCGTTTTCTGTTGCCTGGTTCCTCTTCTATATTCAGTCCTCGGGATGATCTGATGGCCAGCAGGAAACGCTGTCATCAGTGTGGTGCTGTTGTGGAGTGATGATGGGGAAGGGCGACTGTAGAGTTTACATCGCGCCGTTTGTCTCGTGGCTCCGTCCTGCTGGTGACATTGTGATGGGAAATCCGAACCGGCTTACGGGAATCTCGCTCTCGCCATCAAGATCGCACCGTGGAAGTCATCACCGACGTGAGTAGGTCGCAGACAATGAACAGCAGGGAGTCTGGGCGCTCTGCCGTTATGAACTGCAATCAAAGCTACGTACGGCAAACGCTGTCTGTCGACGCCTGCGTGTCTTAGTTGTGGTGCGTGAAATTTGCGTGATACGCTTCGCCAGGTCTGCCCGATCCTCTTCTCCACGGCAACGAAAATACAGAAGCGCCAGGGTCATGGTGGTGCGCGGGCATGCCAATGGGAAGCTGGAAGTCATGACCGTCACGGAGCTATCTCTTTCATACGAAGCTTATGGTGAAAATGGAATCCATGTATCCACACGGGTGGTCTCTGTAGCATTTAGCGTTTTTGCCACTTGGCTACGTGACTAGATTCGCACCGATCATTCGCCTGGGCCGAGTTCTGCTGCAGGGTAGTCTTCGACAATGATTCAGCCAAGATTAGATGTCCAGGAGGCAAAGCGAAACGAATAGCTTCAGCTTAGACACCATATATTCACCCCTCGGACAGATGGTGAATTCATGCAATTCATAGCCGCAAGCTCTACTGAATGAATAGCACACCCTGACAGCTACCGATGGTCAGCCCGACCAAAACTCACACCGAGCTTCTGTTGCTCCATGAGCCAATCGAGTGTGAATGGGGAGCCGCTGATGTCGCAAGGAAAGGACGATAGCTCCTCCTGGAGCGTGATGCGACATGGTGTTGTCCGCTTCAACACGCGTAGCTCGACAGCTAGGCGAAAATTGCCCCCGCCGTCCCTGTGGGCGGCTGACACAGACGTATCCTGGGTGATCCCCTCCAAGCAGTGGAAGGCTGAGCGCCCTGTCAGCTGCTGCATGAACACGTCGAACTGCTCGGTGCCTGCGCGATGGCGGCAGAGGATATACCCTGTGCAGTGGTATGCACCCTTCACGAGACGCGGCGTGGCGGCTAGCTCAAAGTAGAACAGCTCAGCACGCACGCGTCGCGCCAGGCGCTCCATCTGCAGCGAACCAAGCACGCTGTCACGTGCTATCTGCGCGACGTGCGGCATGCTGGTCACGTCGTCTAACGCTGGCTGTATCCCGTCATACTCCATGTCGAACCGAAAATAGGCGCCATGGCTTTTGTCCTCCTCTTGGCTCACCAGGTTTTTCCACGCCGTGCCGGCGTTTCCTTGCTTCCAAAAAGCCCGATATAGTCGCGCAGGGAACGAATCCTCCCACATCGCAGCGATCCCCGCGCTCGCCGTGGTACGGGAGCCAGCGGAACCCGTCCCCAGCGAGACGACGGTGCTTGGCTTAGGCGCCGCTGGGAAAAGAATTGCCGCCTCCTTGATGGCAATGGGGGCTGGGTTGTTGTACCCGAGGCCCCCATCCTGGAATGTGCCGGCGCCTTGGATGTGATGGGCCGTGAAGTAACTGACGGCCATACTCAGTATATGAACAAGGATCTCTGACCCGACACTTACTATGGCGCTGCAGTGCAGCAACGGAGACTGTTCAAGTCAGCACGCAAGCACTCGACAGGGACCCGGACGCCACGAACATTTCCCACAGAGGCGCTGCGGCGACTCCCTGGTCGAATCGGAGGACTTCATAGTCTGTCTGGTGTCAGCCATCTGAAAACGCTCGCGGGATGGAAAGTACCCTGATTCTCATGATTCTCTGCGTTGTAGTTGGTCACGATAAAAGTGCTGCTGTCCTGTGCGCTCGTCAGTGTCACGCCTACCAGGGTCCCCGCGCGGCTCGCTTCAGCGGAATCAACAATGCTTCGACAGGCGCCATACGCCTCCTGTTGAATGGCTTCGAGCTGGTCGGCGGCGTACTTGCAGTCGACAAGCAAGGACTTGACGAGCTCGACAGCAGGCGCCACAAAGGGTGCGGCGTGGAAGAGCGACCGCACGATGCGGGAGTAGCGAGATTCCTCGAACGCGAGCTTGGACGACGTTTCAAAGTACTCGATGCATTGGTCCACGGGCCAGCCGTTGATGCACAGCGCACATGCGATAAGGGCCCCTGTGAAGATAAGCCAGCTGGTCCGCAGGAGTCCAAGGGCACATGTACCTGAGCTGGTGCCGAAGACGACGTCAAAGTTCTGTTGGACGGGGTAGGGCAGGCCGATGGCTTCCTGCAGGACGCTGAGGAACTCGAGGGGAGCGCGACCCCTTGTGCCGCCCCCATCAATGCTTAGGATGCGTGTGGTGGCGGTGGCTGGTCGGACGCGGATGCAGGGACCAGCCGTTGCGCCGCATAGCAGACACTCGTCCGCATGGAATAGATACGGATCGCCCGCATCAAGGCGGGCAAAGGTGCAGACACATGTCTGGCATACCCAGTGCCGACAGGGCAGGCAATATTGGGGTCTACGTCGAACACAAACAAAGCAGGTGCTTTCCGAGGACGGAAGCCGCTGGTGCAGTTGCACACTCGTCAACTGATGTCGATGGGCATCTCTTGCCGAATCGAGGTGCTGGAGCTGGGGGAATAGTTCCGTCATGCTACGCTCCAGCGACCGACTGAGGTCGAATGGTAGCGGCGGCATCTCCGCTGCTGCTCGGATCTCTTCCAGCTCAAGGGTGGCTTGGGCGCAGGCATCACGGTACAAGGAACGAAACACGTCCTGGGGATGGAAATCTAGGGAGCTTGTCAGTTACTTGGCCAGTGCGCTCCCAGCAGGCAAGGCGTACGGTGCATCCCAGGTGGGTACTGGTCTAGCAGTAGGCTCGAGGCGGCTGTGGGAATGGCACAGGACTCCAGCGTGTCGTCATCGCGTCCGCGGAAGAAGTTTACCAGGTGGGTTGCTAGATCGGAAGCAATGGGATTGGCCGCTCGCGCCATCTGGATCAAGTCTACCGGCGACCGTAGCGACCTACCTAGGTCCCGTGACGCCGCTTGGAGGAATGCGACGGTGTGGCGAGCGGAGAAGAGAAAGCTCCTGTCGCGTCGCTCGCGATGGACTACTCGGATGGCCTGATAGAGTTTCTGACGAAGAGTTCCTAATTGCTTTCTCTGCCACATCCCGCGTTGGGTTGGTGAGAATGTCACGACGGTGATGGACTGAAAATGACGAGTCAGCGATGCAGGGCCAGCCGGCTGACCCATGCGAGCTACTTCAACACGCATCCGTTGGCTGTGCTCCCTCGGCACCACGACGATCAACACCGGGCGGATAGGCGAGGTTGATGACCGCTCTCTCGCAGCCCAAGACGCTAGGCACTCTATGGCGCGGTCAGGCCCGCCAATGTCAGCAACGAATAGACATGCCACATCGACAAAGGGAAAAACGAATCTCTGGTGGACTTCGTCGGCTGCCGGGACCGCGTGGCGCACATCTGCAGGCAAGTAGTCCTCGGCGGATTCGTGGCACCGAAATAATCTTGGTGCCGAGGGCAGCCGATTGTGGACGGGCAGGTCCCCGTCGGCGACGAAGACTGGCTGAGTGGCACGGGCATGCGAGATATGTAGATGGACCTCACCGTGGTGTCTCGCATTGCTGGGATGCCTGCTCCCTGGACACATGTTGGTGAGAAAGAGGAACTTTGTGTAATTTCCGATCAGCACCGCGAAGCCATGTGGTTCCTCTGGATCGCGAACTTGTTCGAGCAGTCGCTGCGGCCTGTCTGAGACAGCCAGCAGTACCCGCCCATTTTCCTGCCGCAGCTTTGTCCATTGCGTGTGTTTGCATGCGCTCATTGAATTGGATATGCTGCTATCGTTAGGGGTGGTGATTGGCGTTTTATATATTGCTGACAACCGCTTTTGTCCGTCGTCGCCGTCCTGACTTGACCCAGCCTGCTTACTCGGCCAGCCCGATAATGGCCCGCAGAGCGATTGACGTGGGCCATAAGGTGCCAAAGACGCGCTTCTTGGCCTGTACTGAACGTCGATATCCGACGATGCGGTCGAGTATAAGAGCGCAAGAGTTTCCCAGCCAGCTGTTGCAGGGCAAGTGCTCAAGAGCGGCCGGTCGATCAGAGATAGACACCTGGGCCTGCACAGCACTCTCCGACGTCAACATAGCCGATGCCAGCGGCTTTGATCAGTGTCCGTCTCCGCTTGGGACCGACTACCGAGACCAGCGTCTCCGCAATGCTGAGCTTGAGCGAGACGTGCAGGAGCTCCGCGAAAAGGTCGACGAAGAAGTGCATAAGCGTCGGGTCGTCGACTTTGACCGGGAGCTGGCCATCGATGCCTTGAGAGAGAAGACCGAGGAGGTCAGGCAGCGAGACGAGACGATCGACGCGCAGAACGCTCTGTTGAGTCTGGCCTGGGCTGACGCGCAAGACTTGGCCTCGTCCCACCAGAGCACGCAAGATGCATTGCAGCTATTGAAGGAGTATATCGAGGGCATACTGGCGAGCACGCCGGATCCGGAGCTCAATGCGAACAAGAAGCGCAGACATTGCTCGTGATGTTCGGCGCTGTCGCTCCAGCTGGGGCGTCCCCGACCCGGAGGGCGGTCCCCGTCTCTGACCGCAGCGGACACGACTTCAGCAGAACAGCTCCGCTCTACAAGATTCAGGACGTGTATAAGCTGGGTGGGCATCTTTTGACGTCGTTGAAAAACTAGTGGCTAGAGTCGCCGAATGGTTCCAAACATGCTAAATCTCACTGTGCATTCTTTCCATCCGTCATTGTGCCACGGCAAGAAGAAACCTAAAATGTACTATAGGATATGGATCTAAGCGCCAGACAGACAGCGATTCTAGTTAGAATCGTACGTTGCTGCGAACGCCGGCTCTGGGCAGGCTCGCGGGACACGTCCTGCGGGAGGTATGCCAAGTATACGACACACTGTTGGAAGAATTGAATCTGAGATCCGGCTGCATTCGCGTCCCGGCAACTCTAGAAAAGCGTTAGGGTGTGCTATGCTCAACAATGGTACAAGTGGGCTTGGGTGCATCTGAAGGAGAATCAAACATGCTTGCCGCCTCGTCCCAATTACCTATGTATGGACGATGCTCGACTGATGTAGCAAGCATTTTGTAGTATCCCACCTATTTTGATAGTCCTTTCAAAGTATGCATGGTGAGCGTGGCATTCTCTAGGCGGGCATCCCCTCCGTCACGGGAGCTTGCTCTACCCTCCAGCACAACGACACGTTCCATGATCGATCAATGATACACGTCCCCGGTGGCATCTCGATGCAGCCTGTGGTGAGCGCGAAGGTTCTCTAATCTCTTGAAACAATGGCCGCACAGCGTGCAAGGAAACCTGGGTGGGTTTGCACTATGTTTCCTGCCAGGCATTAGTCTTTTTAGTGTCTGATGGTCTAGACAGGATTGCTCTCTCATTGATGTGTCTTCTCAGATTTTCTGCACGCGAGTAGCTTTTCGGGCACGGCGAAATTTTGCAATAGAACCGCTTTCGAACAGTCCTACTGCTGACTGTGGCGGTGTTATCCTTAGGGGACTCACACAACACCGGCGCTTCGTCTGAAGATGGTTGTACACTAAGCACCGTGCGAGAGTCACGATCGAGCTGTGGTTCGCCTGCCCAACAGTCGGAGGTCAGCCAGGAAACGTCATCCCACCAATTCGTATTCAGACGTGTGCCGAACAGCCAAAGCTCCGTCTCGGAGGGGGAAAGGCCTCCGTCGATCTGAGCCATGGAGCTCTTTAAGTCGCAGATACGGAAACCCGGAAGTCGCAGCACGCTCACCCCCGTTTTAACTTGCTTGCTACCTAAGTACATCGGAAGACCCTAGCCGCTTTCGCCCTTCGTTAATCAGGGCACTCTACACTTAATCTTGAAAGTGGACAAGGGCTTTCTCCGCCAGTAAGTATGTTTACTTCTATACAAAACGCCTAAATGTGGTCAAATAGCACTCGACTATCAGTGACACCAAGGACTGTGGAGGCCGGCGACGATTTGTCCACGAGGTAGTGGCAGCGCCACCTCTATTTCGTGGAGGCTTCTCGTTGCGGCCTGTATCTATGCAATAACCGCTATTGGATTAAACCTTTCCGGGAGTATCAAGTCTATGCGGCCAGTAGATGGCAATAGGCTGCCAAAAAAAAAACGTCTGATTGTGCACAATGTAACGGCCAGTCGACGCTTTGCGAGCTACTATAAAGCCGGAACCACCAGAGACAAGCCATCTCTCGCTCCTCTAGGCTATCAATCATGGGTCCTCCGAAAAAAAACAATGCTGCTCAAAGTGACAAGCCCGCCAACCCTGGCAAGACCTCCCAAGGTGTGGGCAAAACCGCAAGGCAAACACGCTCTACCAACGCGCAGGCTCTTGAACATCTCGAGGACGCATACAACAAAGCGGATGATGTGAAGAAGAGAGAGATAGACCAGCAATACACCACTAGCAAGCGCCAAGTCCCCGAAGGCATGGAAGTAGATGACGACGGCACCTCTGCGCCACCGGAAGAAGAGAAGAAAGACGCGGCGCCGAATGAGGCACCTCAGGAGCGTGGATCCGGTCAACCTAACGAGGCATCAGGAAATCCCAGATCCAAAACGAATGCTGCCGAGCCGCAGTTCAAGGCCGAAGAAGATGATGGTCTTTTCCTAACGGAACACCATACTGGAAAGCAGGCGCACACCGGCGACAATAGTTCTGACGACCTAGAAGAGCTGGGCGACATCGGAAGAATTACCTCCGCGACAAGTATAGTCGACAGTAAGCTGGACATATCCATAAAGGGGCCCTTCGGCAAGTGGTATGCCATTTATCGAGATGGTCCGCGCCAAGCACCATACTACCACATGGGCCGCATGGCTGATGGTCAGTTTTCTGAGAGTGGAAAGAACGTGTTCCGTCTTGGAGAGTCGGGCTCGGAGCCACGGATTCGTCGAGTCATCGGTTTCGTGGGGTACAAGACATATCATGATTATCTTGGCCTGCTCAAAGCCTTGGCCCAGAGGCACTGGCCGGCGGAGAATGGAAGTACGCGAAAGAAGCCGCCCATGATGTTCGTCTGCGTGCAGTGGGAGGATAGAACAACGACCTGGGAGTGGCGAGGAAAGTTAAAGAAGCATTCTCAATTTGGTGGGCAAGCGAAGATAGTAGCCCCAAGAACCATCGAGTACGAGAATGTCGTGCTAGTGGAGGACGGGGAGAGGATCCACTCCGCCGATTTCGCCTTTGTTGAGACCGCTGCCCAGCTTGCGAAGAGGCACCAGCAATGGATACTGGGACAACGCAAGAGCGAGTCTCGATCGCTATCTCCGGGCTTGGTTCTTGACACCGTGGAGGTCGACGGCAAGAATTTCCAGGACGGCTAGACAAATCGAGCTATATGGGTTGCTGATGGTCAAAATCGCCGACAGTGCGTCGACGCTGCAATTCAGGTGGCGGTCGATTATATAAGATAGTGAGATACAGTGGTTAGGTTTGCTGATTAGTTTGCATGTCTTTGATTTATTTTGGTTCGGTAGCTGGACTCCCGGGCGTTAGTACACGTGGGCTGAATCTCATTCTTCCTGTTTCTGAACGTCCTCTCGTGATAAATGTGCTGCCCAGGCTTCACGAATATTGATTCATCATATGCTGCATGCCCGGCAAGATACTCCCATAGCAAACGGCCCCTTCTCCATCGAGATCAAGAGCCAAACTCGCGCCTGCCATCACGCCTGACCCGACATCGAGAGCAGCAGAAGTGATGACATTTCCATAGATAACCTGTCTCATACCTCAGCTTGACTCACGGAAAGTATGCCCGCCTGCGAGCCGAATACCGCGGACGTGGAAGAAGGACCCCTAAACCGCTGCTTCGTACCTGAGGAGCTACTTTCCGCCGCCTTTCTAGTGTCCTTTTAGTTTCTAGGCTCTCCTGCGTACCGTTGGTTTGGTTGCGACTGTGCCATGAATGATCCCGTCCTGGCTTTTGTTAGATGAGGCATCGCTAGCCTACAACTCGCAACGTACTGAATGTGCCCTTGTAGCAAAGTTACTTCCGCAGCCAGCTCGCGTGCTACGTTCGCAATGCTATGATCATAAGTGTGGGGTCTTTCGAGGAATACGGCACTGCATACTAGTCCAAGCGTGTCACAGCTTGTTCAAGGCTTCGCTCGGGACAGTCGGGTGTGGTGGCTTGTCTGCTTTTCGTTAGGGGCATGATCTGCACGGGGCATGAAGACTCACAACCGACGGTTGACCATATGCTGGCCGAGATTTGCGCTCGAGGCATTGGTAGCGTAGACTGGGGTGAAATCTTGCTGTTGCTGTGCAGCGTGTCCGCGTGTCGGCGAATACGCGTGTGGAAAGAGGCCACGTCCCCAGGATTGATAGCCAGGGTTCGCGCCTGGTACCGAACTATGGAGACCGGTCCTACTACCACCAGGCTCAGACGCCATGGAGCCCGCCGTCGTGTAAGGCATGTTCATTGCGACGCAGGATGAGCGATGAGGAAATACTAGAAGGGGATAAAGGATACTGTGAGCGTGCTGGTCTATCCTACGCCGGGAGCTGCGATTTATACACCTCTCTGCGTCCCGATGCTTTGGTTCGGTCAATGTGCGTGCGACCAACAGCCAACAGCGTCGACCTGATGGAGTATGGCTGCTCCTCTGGACGGAGACACGCTGCGCGCATCGATATCGCGCACGCAACCTGAGATCTGCTGACCATTTTGAAGGCGTCTGATCTACCCTGAGATTCAGGCTCAGACCGAGCCATGCATATTCGCACAAAATCACCCACCGAATGAGCGATGGAGACCCTGAGCATTAAGGCCATTCCCTTCGGTAATACATATTTGTGGTCGGTGCTCAACAGCTGTCAATGTTGCGTCATGCATTGAGAATTATGGGTCTGCGGCGTGCATCTGAACTCGGAGATCACGATTCGGAGAAAAGGAGCATCGCAGGAACATACGCATTGTCGATCAGTGGCTTGATTGCATTAATACAGCACAGAAACAGAAGACCCGGAGCTCCCATAACTTGTAGTTGGCAAGTCGAACGGGGCAAGATACAGGAGTGGAATTTTTCTTTCAATCTCGCGTTCTCCTGGAGGAATTCTGTTGAGCCACGAGTGCGTAGCGCAGGACAGTGCCCCACCTGAGTCCAGCTCCATCGTTTGTGCCTCGCAAACCACTTTACGAATTGCGCCGCTCGTCGCTAGGCTCGGTACGACCCTGCGTTCTGCCGCGCGGACATGGAAAGAAGAGCACATGATAATTGTCACCTGCAGGACTATGCTCGTCCTCCCACTGCCGGACGAACCCTCAGCCGTCACAGCCCGGACTGCGCGACCTGTCCTCATCGTCTTTGTGTCTTTGTGGACGCTGGATCCTGGGCCAGCAGCTGATGCCTTGAGTCGACTTTTTTCGCACCGCTTTGGATGATGTGGTATGTTGGTTGGCGACATGCTAGCGGCCCACTCTTCTGACGTCCCGACCGATGATATCTCGAGACATGTCCGGGGTCGGCGAGAGCACTCGGAGCGAAGGTTTCGTGATTCCGGAAGGTGCGTGGGTCGCCATTCTTGTCTGGTGCTCTCTGGCGACGTAAGGTGCTGTGCAACTTTGTGCATTGTTCAGAGTCCCACGATTCGCGACTGGTGGCTCAAGCTCCTACGAAGCCATGATAGCCTGAGAATGCCCAGCGCTTGTCCGATACGTAGTTGGGCGAGGCTAGTCCGGAATATGACGCGATCTCCTGTTGCGGGCATGGACAAAAGGCAGCTTCCGGACGTCGGTCACGATAAAGGTCGTTCAACCTCTGCGCAGTCTGTCGCGCCGCATCGATCTTATCAGTATGTCAGCTGATGATATCGCTACGCTTCGACGACTCACCATCGGCCCCATGTCGAGCGACTCCATTGCCCTGATCAGGACGGCTTGGCAGGCCACCAAGATACGATATCCAGTGGATGGCCAACCTCTCGTAGCGGCCAAGGCATGGGTCCAGTATGCCTCTGCAGTGGCCGGGAATGGCAGCGACGCAATGCCGACATCCGTGCGCCAGCTTGCAAGCGCGGCGCACGTAGACGAGGAGACCGTTCAGGCGTATCTTGAGCTTCTCCGTGCACAATCAACTAGACACGCGGATATTGCCTCTACTCGATCTCTTAACGAGGGGCCGATAGACATCCGCAATGAGGGCCTGGAACAACCTGTCATCATTCCATGCCAAGACGGCACCGCTTGGGCATTTGCTGTTGCGTATCCTGATTGTGTGCACTGGTACGACAGCCGACCTAACGCTAGCATTCCCAATCTAGCCACGACGCCACGGCCAATCGTGGCCAACTGGACAGGGCCGAAGGTGTCGCAGGATCGCGTTGATGATGCAGGCGTTCTCGCCCTCATCGGCATCCGACAGATTCACCAAGGGGCTCCTCACATGAGTCAGGAATGCGCCAATGAGCTCGTCTCCTCCTTCCGGGCGCGCTTAATAGCGGAGCTTACATGCGGTGAGCTGGAGCCTAGTGCGGAGGCGTTTGCGGCCATGGCGCCAGCAGAGGCCGAAGTAGGAAGTCAATTTTTCGCGGACGCGCTATACGGAACTGAGCCATACCATAAGAGCTCAAGCTCGTCCCGAAATACATCCCCGGACGTCCATCCGGCGTCGCCGCACCCGGTAAGCGCCCGTGAGGGACCAAACTTGCGCCAGAGGGTGGCCCCGCCCATCCACACAGAGTCGTCGTCACCAGTGCGGCCATTGTCCGCTGGCACACGCGTCCAGCCCGGGCGAGACGACCGTCGCACTATCCTCGGACATCTCTGCGAGGCCGTGCTGTCATATCGTGCCATACAAGGTTCCGATCAGCTTAGCCTTGCCATGCTCTGGCAGTCGGTCAAGCGAGGCGCGACCGGCAGTACTTTCCACAAAAGGCTAAATTGCGTGCGCTTCTGCGAACGGATGGATGCGCTGGATGATGCCCAGGCGGTGGGTAGCGCTATGCGCTACCCTGTAGACAGACAAAGCCTCCTTGAGATGAGAGACATGCAGACGCAATGTCAATTCTGGCGAGATGTATGTGATCTTCGTCTAGCATGGGGGCCCGACAAGTTCGTTTTGCTTCTCGCCATCCCCCGGATCCCGTCGATCCGGCGGTTGACCGCATCAAGGAAACAGCAAATTCTGACCGGCCTGCGCGCTCGCCTTGACGATTCGGCCGATTCCTTGCAGCACTGGCTCCAACAAAGCCAGCGCCTGTGCCGGGCCGTTGTCACGGGTGCACTGCCCGCGGACAATCTAATGATTGATATTTACGGTCTCAAGAAGCCTCAGAATGTGAGCGACTCGGATTATGAGATGTACACGAGCGGAGATCCTCGGGCTAAGCGTGCGCTTCCTCGGAGGGGAACAGCTCGTAGCACCTGAGAGGCATCGGCTGCTGGAGATACTATAGCCTAGAGCGCCATGGATTTTTGCCTCACACGCTGGTTTGGTGATGAGGAAATTTCACACTTCTACTCTGTTTGTCCGCATTTGTGACCTTCCCCATTCCACGCGCCAGCTTTCTTCACAACATCCGTATTTGCCTTAGTTATCGCCTGTTATTCTTACGGGCGGCGAGTTATGACGTTCGGGACTGGACTAGCTACCGGGTAGGGTAGTGCAGAAAGTCGTTCATGTGGAAGAACACCAGGGTATCAGTAATCGAACAGTTATTCGGGTCACAGTCGAGTGCAGTAGGCGTGATCTATGCGTTGACAATTATATTGATAGCTAGGGAGTTGGGTAGACACGGACTGTGGTGAAGCTGGGATCATTGCGCGAAGCAAATGAAATCGCGCAATGATACCCGTGGATCATGTTGTTTTATGGATGACCCTGATATTTTGGTGGAAGATAATGGGTTATGCGGCATGCCACGTGCGGGCTGCTTGGCGGCGCATGCGGTCGCATGCTGGGTCGCAGCAGTTCGTCCTCGGGTGCCAAATAATATTGGCGTGCGCATTCCAAGGTGCATCCCATGATACTGTATGGCTGAGCGATCACCGTCCAATCGTTGGCTTCTGGCCGAACGCCAGAATCTGTCGCGAGGCGTCACGTCCTGGATAGTACGCGACAATATGCAGTCTAGCCACTTCGGGCCACGAATAGATCCGCCGCTATATCAATTCAGGGTTCTTCTGGCAGCGTTCCCTCCCTGCGACTGCTATCGTCGCACTATTCATCCGATGCGTCCTGTTTCTAGTGTGTACTCTGACGCTTTTGAACTAGAAGACATCGCACGGCAGCTTCTCGGGAGCGCTTACGATAATCATGCCGAAGCGATACGAGCACTCGAAAGCAAACGAGATGCGCTACAGCACCAGCGAAATATTGTGCGTTCGTCATGGGCCACGGTGTACCAGTTGCTTGAAAAAACGGCCGATGCCGCTGCCAGTCTATCCCGCTCTCTTAGGGACGCACAAAGATTCATGACTTCGGAGCGCAACAAATGGCTGGCAAACTGCACTGCAATATAGTGCCACTCCAAAAATGGGCACGAGGTTCCTGGTCTGCTGTAAAGCATAGGCATCGGGCTGAACCGTCCCTCACTTACCACGCAAGATGACCCGAGCATATTGTCGTTTCGACGGCGACGGATTTGTTCTGTTTCTCTCAACAGAGGAGGGTTGCTCAGTATGTGGCTCGGCCAGAAACTCCATGATGAGGATGCAACGCCTGTGCTCTTCCTGCAATAGGTTGGGATTAGTCCTGTGGAGCGGAAATCACCACTGAAATACCGAGGACTGTCTACTGGAGACCTTGCTGGCTTATGAGGAAGACACATGTGGACGTCGTGAAGTTATATTAGGCCGTACTCCTACAGACAGTCCATAAGGGGTACTAGAAGCCAAGTCTCCACGAAGGCGGCCGTATCGTGCGTCTTCTTCGTGCCCATGCCACCAACACAAAATACAAACACTACGGGCTTCCCCGACTCCCTTAAAATAGGTGAGAACATGATGTTGTGGCTAGACCAATTCCTAACGAGGGAGCAGGCACCTGTTTGAGACATCCAGAGGCCGTTACGGAGGAAAGCGGTGCGTGCCCTCGCTCTCCGGTTGTGTGGAGTACGGCCTTGATAGGACAGAGATGGAGATGCCGAGTGCAGCGAGCGCCTTCACTGGAGGTGGGCACAAATCAAGGAGCGACACACGGAGGCGCTTCTTCCTGACTTAATGACTAGCTAGAGAACGCGTGTGAAATTTCTCATCTACCTTGCCTCACCATTCTCACCAACCGTCTATCCTACCGTCGTCTATTCTATGGTCCCCAAACCCGTTCCTCTCACCGTAGGTGCTCACAGCATAAATCATGCCTTCAGCGCGCGTCCAACCATGGCCCTAGATATCTCGTGTGAAAGGCAGGGCCCCTCATCAAATATCTTCCATCCAGTTCGGGCGGTATTCGAACCAAAGACAGCCTTTGCGCTTGGTGCCGCCCTTGCCACCGTTATTGCAGTCTTTGAAATTGTCATACATTAGATCGTAACAGCCGGTAAAGTCTTGCTGTTGATGGAATGTGCATCCCTTGATCCAGAAGACGGAGTACTGGTAGATTTCATCGTTGTCACCTTCGTACAGAGACGTGATGCTGTCCGACTCTTCCTTCATCTTGTGTTTGCTATACTGTTCGCAGAAGTCCTTCGCATTCTGCTTATGTGTGTCCTCCAGGGTAAAGTAGACGCCATCTTTGCGGCAGAACTGAAGCGAGTACTCACTGTCCTCGCGCAGTTCGTCCCCCCCGGTCGGCAAGACCGTAGTGAAGGCATCTGCTGGTGGCGTACTGTAGGTCGTGAACGTCGAACGTAGAATAGTCGGCGTGGCTTTCGATGGAGATGAGACTGGAGAACGGAGCGCGGTACTTGTCGTTTGACGCGTATGCGTCGCAGAGGGGCTTTCGTCCACGCTCACGCTGGTATGAGTGTCGGTTGGAGAGGTCGTTGATTCCTGCTTTGGTATGTGGGTAGGGGAAGGGGTGGCTTCGGAGCTCTTCATCTGGGCGGATCCTGTGCTTAAAAGTGAGGATGCTATGCTAGGCACTGTGGACGTGGGATCCAGGTCAGCCGTGGGCGTAGCAGAAACAGCTCGCCCGTCAAGTATCAGGGTAGGCGTGCACGATGAGGTGACCCAGGTCGCCGGCCAATCCACGTCACCCACGTACGGGATGGTGTACTGTGACGGCTTGATTTTGTTGACATCTATCCCCGGGTTGAGTCGCTCGATTTCGTCATAATCTCTGAGCTTCAGTGCATACAAGGCATCGATGAAGATTTCCCCCGTCTTCACGTCCCACATGCCCACATCTGGTTTCCTCACGCAGGCTGCGGCCGCCAAGGCCACGAAAGGGGTGATGTAGGCGACCTTCATGTCTATCGAGTCCAGTCGCGGCGTTGGCTCTCTACTCGTGCCTCTCCACGGGGCTGGCTATATACAATCCTCCGACTGCTTCCAGCCATCGCCTCCATTCGTCTGTTTTGGCCGTGCCAAGGCAACGGCGTCGTGGTACCTGGGCACGGAATCCGAGACCGCGGACCTCTGAGGTCAAGGGGCGAGTACTTCAAGACCCTCATCTCCTTTTTCTGTCCTTGGTGAGGCACAGTGTTCCTGCCTATCCCAAATACACCCGGGGGAACGTACGAACTTCTACACACCAAGCCTGGTATCAAGCGGGGTGGATTCTTAGATCATGGTGTCTTTTCGTACTATGACGCCCATGCTTATGGCTCTATTGCCTCTGCGCATGGCTTTGGCGGAGCCACCGACACAGCAGGCGCTCGACATATTTCCTATCTGCGTGGTGAGTCTGCCGCTGGCTTTGGCACAATTGCAGCTAACATGGTGCACTGAAGAGTGATTGTATCACGGCAGGTTTATTGGAACAGAGCTGCGACGCGGCTGACCTACAATGCATCTGTGCGAGCGATACCCTTCGTGCGTACCTTGGCGCATGCGTGGGCGTTTCTTGTACGCCAGCGGAAGCTCTCTGTATGTGACGAAAAAACTTGACCGTTCTCTGACCTAACCATTGGAAGCCGCGAGGAATATCACCACTGCCCTTTTCCATTCCTCGGCACGAAGTCGGTCTGGTCAGCTTGTCGTGGTGGCGTCCACGATGACAGGTCTGGCCGTGGCCTTTGCCACGGCCCGCCTTGTTTGCCGGCAGTGGGTGGTCGGATCTTCGCTGTGGTTAGATGACTGGCTGGCCCTTGGCGCGACTGGTACCATCATCGCGAGTGCTTTCATCAATATCTACGGCCTGGCTGGACACGGGCTGGGCCGGGACATCTGGACCCTGTCGGCAGGCGAGATCACCGCGGTTCTGCGATACTTCCACACGATAGCATGGCTGTACTTCCTGGACACTGCACTGGTGAAGCTGTCCGTCATCGTCTTCTACCTCCGCATTTTCCCTACTGTCGCCGTACAGAGGCTACTCTGGGGCACATTCGCTGTGACGTGCATCTGGGGTGCGACATTCATCTTCGTAGCTGTATTCCAGTGCCGACCCATCGATCACTTCTGGAAGCACTGGGATGGGATGCATCAGGGCTCCTGTGTGGATGCGAATGCTGTGGCCTGGGCCAGCGCTGCGACGAACATTGCCCTCGATCTATGGCTCCTGGCGGTGCCGCTCTGGCAGCTGCGCACTCTGCAGCTCCATCGGAAGAAAAAGATTGGGGTAGGCCTGATGTTCTGCGTTGGGATCTTGTGAGTCGTCCGTGTAGCCTCGGACGGCTTGTCGCTGACACGATTGCGCAGCGTCACGGTCGTGAGTGCCCTTCGGCTTCAATCCCTCGTCACCTTTGCGAAGACCTCGAACATGACGTGGGACTACTATCCCGCCTGTCTCTGGTCCACCATAGAGGTCACGGTGGGCTTGATGTGCGCCTGTTTCCCGGCTGTGCGGCAGCTCCTGGTCAAGGGGTTCCCCCGCCTGGGCGAGTCCGTGCGAACCAAGACGAACGGCCTGTACGGGCATCGAAGGCACGGAAGCACATCAAAAGCTGTGCACTCGAACCGGCCTGGGACACGGACAACCATAATCGTAGACCCCGAGGCACACCACCAAGGCGTGAACGAGAGTGGAATCATGGTGGAAAGAACGTACCATGTTCTTTCCAACAGGACTAGCACGGCCCCATGAGTACAAGGTGGGGTAGGACGCCGACGTCGGAGCGACATGTAGTTCAGCATTAGTAGTCAATTGGCCGCGCCTGGCAACCATTCACAGACACACACTCCTTACGACCCCTGAAGTGAGGTCTATGCTATGGCGCTAGCTTCGTGGAAACGATCTGGCTGCAACCTTTCGAAGCCGCTCGCACTCTTGGTCTCGCAGTGGATACGTCGTCCAATCCAGGCCAGACCTAGCATCCGTACGGACTCTAGGCAAAATTAGACAAAGGCTCTGTACGGCATGAAATGGTCGCACGTATCATAAATGTCTTCAACGCCCCCATCAGGCTAGGCCCACATACAAAGAACCAAACCGCCGCTTCCAGCACCTACGCACGTAGGCCACATACGGGACTGCAGCATCTGCGACGTGCTATGCGATGGCGCAACAGTCGCATAGCCGCACCACACGCATGTGGATTAGCGATCGTGAATTGGCGATACAACAAGCACCAAACAAGACCAGCCGCGTTCCCGGGACCGATTGCGCCGTGGCTCCTCTAAAATTGCGCAAGGAGAGAAAGGTCGACGAGACGAACGTGGACGGGACGAGGCTACAAACCCCTTCTTCCGGCACAGACTCTGCGCTACCGCTGCAGGCAGGAAGCCCATGGAGGCGGTACAAGGCGATACTATCCCTATTAGACATGGGCGACAAAGTCATCGTGGCGAGCGAGCGCGCGGCCCCAATGAGTCGCGTTGGCGTGAGGCGGTTCCCCCGCGGCAACCAGGATACTGAGACGCTATCCCGGTTGCGTGAGGTGCGGCATGCCAACATTGTTGCTGCGCTTGAGGCATTCCAAGGCCAAAAGATACTCTACATCGTCTTTGAGGATATGCATATGCCCCTTGATCACGTAATACGGTGCCCGCGCCGACGGACCAGCGACGAGGTAGGGACGATCGTAGGGCAGGTATGGGAGTCTCGCGCCGCGTAATTCCCGATTCTTTTCTCACGGGCCTAGATCCTAGACGGACTCGATTATCTCGACTCCCATCGTTGGTGTCATAGTCGTCTGAGCTGTGAGACGATCCTCGTTCAGATGGCGGGCGACGTTAAAATCGGTCCGTACGCGCTGAACACCCGCTGCGACATGGAGGCTGACTGTGTAAGTAGGCATGCAGGAGCTCTGCCGTGCTGCTAGCTCGAGGGAGCAGCAACAGAATCTCACGGACATTGGCACAATCACCATAAAGCTCATGCAAGGGTACGCGTTAGAGGAGGGAAAGGTGGGCGTGGAGGACCTCAGCGATTGGCAGGAGTCGAGCATCCTTGACTTTCTATCGGCTATCACCTCATCGGATAGGGCTGGTCGACTGCGTAAGGTGGGCTATAACCAGTCGTTCCGATCACAGACGCGCAGAGCTAACGGGAGCAGAACATTTTCCTTGTACAGATATGGGAGAAGGAGTCTAGGTGGCCGAAAGAGATCCTCTGCGATCTCTTCCACACGGCTCAGCTGTCCGTGCGGAGGTACTACCACTACAAGCCGTGATGAATCGTATGGTTTCCAACTTCTAGTATAGTAGTCTGACAGGTTAAGCAAGGTAATCCTGCGATCTCCAGTCTCTTCTCTTCTTGACTAGAGCTCGTCTAGATAGATACAGCATTGTGCCATAGCTCTGGTCGCAGTGAGGCACGTACTATTGTAGACGCCGTTTTCTTGATGCGGACGAGGAGCCCGTCTGGAGCATATGTCGAAGGCTATCGATTTGACAAGGCATATTTCAGGCAAATACGGCTCGTACGGCATAATTTAAAGGAATGACAAACACATCATACCTGTCCGGGCGACGAGTTCTCCAAAGGCGGTGGTGTTGGAGTAGCGGCGGCGTGGATATTTCGCTGGCCGGTGCCGTGGACCAGATATTGGCAGCGCCATCTTCCATCCACTGCTCGTCCTGCCGTACGTGGCCACTTGGCGCTATGCTAACCATTGCATTTAGGACGTACTGTAGTACAGAACGTGGAACCAATAATATCGAGCACCTCTCCGACGCCAAGGGCTACATGGGAATAAAAGCACGCGGTAGCTATCGTAGTGAATAGTCGGGGGCACAGCCACTTGTTCATTTGTGGTCGGATACACTAGCAATCTATTTCCAGCCGGCGAGGGCAAAGGCACATCATATAAGTAAACGCTGCTGCTTGAATCAGTGCTTCTGGCACGTCATAGCACTCTTCTGCGCTCGTTGACGTGGCAAACGTGCAAACGTGTTCTGATGGAAGTCCTCGCGCCGCAGCGACATCACCGCGGGCGCCACGTTCGGACGCCGTGGTCGCCCGAGGTCGTCATCCTAGAAGTCCTATTGACCATTCGGGTGTCCAGCCATATATTCCACTGCGTTCGGGCCGAGGCTGTGGATCTGCTCTGGGATTGGGTGGATGTGGAGAGTCTCCTATGGGTTTTGGACACCGGCACAGAGTTGACACTGTGGCGAGACTTTGAGGCTCGCCCGCGCATCAGCAACATGGACTCAACCCATCGCATCGAAGCCATCCTCGGGATGCACCAGTCGGCGGGTAGTAACGTGTACCTAGGCGTGAAGTGAGGCTGACGTACAATTCACAATAAGCAAGACTACCACGTCAGAGGTATCATGATCCGGGATTAAGAAGGGACGTACTTCATGCCAACACATCCCCGAGTACCTTTAGAAAAAGGTATGAAGGCCTTCTCGATACGCCGGGCTACCGTCGGGTCAAGCCATCTCGTTGGGTCGAACTCGCGGGGTTTCGGAAAGCAAGACTCATCTTGGTGCAGGAGCCAGGAGGACATTGATACATACGACTATTCAATCAATACTAGTGACAAGCGATGAAAGAGCACTTACGCCAGCCGGCATATAGTGGCCGTTGAAAATTGCACCATGCTCCGGTACGACACGTGGAAGACGGCCAGGAACTCCGAAAGAGAGCCTGCAGAGTCAGCCAAGCCAACGGGGCGATGGAAGCAGAGAACACTCACCAACAACCTCTTGCTTCACAGGACAGTGGCAATCGAGACGACATGACGGCCATTGTGCCAGTCGCTTTGACCACAGGCAAGCCCGCGAATGATTCGGCCACATCGTGCTCACCGATGCCCATCCTGTCGAGCCACGCGCCATCGGGCCCAGTCGAGTCCACGGCCTGCGAAAATGAAACAGCCTTCGCCAATGCTGGCGCTGTTCAGCTTGCTGAGCCTCCCAATAAGCCAGACTTTGGCTCGGTCCGGCGGCGCTCTCCACGCATTTCAGCATCACCCAGCAACGGAAGACGAAGCGACGAGCGCCGGAGACCACCTGTCGCGAAGGCGCTGACGCCAAGTTCCACAGACTCATGCCAGTCGCGTGACAATAACACCTGGGATGGTGAAGTGACGCAGTCTCGGGATGCGCCTGAGGACGATTCCGGTCCCGATTTGGAGTCCAACGGCGACCTCGGTTCTGATTCAGATTCGGATTCCGAAAGCTATCCCGGACGTGGCCTGTCTCATGATGATGACTACTCTCCGTCATTAGCAGACGGTTATGATGGCAAGCAAGAGGGCGATTGTCAGGCATATGAGACCGACGACGATGCTGACGAGCCACCCCATAAACGTCGCAGGACAAGGCGGTCTATGCCCAGCACACGTTTGGATCTCCCTCGCAGCGCTTCCCCACACCCATACGGTGGGATATTAGATCAAGAACTGCCAAATCACGGATATTGGTATGTGTGGGTGGTTGTGATGTGTGCTGTCGTTGTGTCTGCGGGGTTGATACGGTGTGGCAGTTCTTGATCTAATATCCCGCCGTACACCCAACCAACGCCAGGCCGCTCATGAGCAACGGACATGCATCAACAGCCGCTTTCAACAGCCCACCACCATCGCAAGCATCGATTGACGGCAAAGATAACGAACCAGATTCGGCTGCGTTTGAGGAATGGAAGGGCACGGTGCAACTCACCACTATAAATGGCGTCACGAGTTTTGAGGGGCAGTTTGAAGGAGAATTAAGCCTGAACCTTCTCCAGGCACTTGTCCAAACCTGGTCTACTACACAGAAGACGATCCACACGCCAGCATGTGGCAGGGCTGGCGGAGTCAAGAGAAAGACGGGCTCACGGGGCAAGTTCACCCCCGAAGAGGATGATCTGCTCATTGATTTGAAGACAAACCTCAGCCTCCCATGGTCGGATATACATCGCCGGTTCAGCAATCGATTTCCGGGGCGTTCTAAGGGGGCACTGCAGGTTCGCTATTGTACAAAGCTCAAAAATAGCAAGTAAGGCAAGCAGCCGTACTGTGATCAGAACAGCGCCCAATCTTCGCGACCTGCTGCCAGGCTTCAACAACAGCGTTATCCCGCGTGGCCACTCCAGATCAGCAGGTGGGCCAATGGTGTCCAGAACCACGTTCAGTCCAGGGGCAAAATCAGCCTCGGACGTTTGTGCTTAACAAGCAGACTGCAAGGCAGCTCTTCATGTTGACGGTGGCGCCTACCATGGACTACGCCTCCAGTGTATGGACCCATGCGTGCGGCGCGAAAGAGCTGAGCTGGCTGAGCAGAGCGCAGAAGGTAAAGTAGGGGCACAAGCAATCACGGGCGCCTTCCGGACGACATGGGGTCAGGACTCTGGAAAAAGACGCCTAAATATATATTATATGGAAAAGCCGCTGTCGCTGGGAACCGTACTTGCGTTGGTGATATGAGCAAAATGTGTTGCAATAGGTGGGATATGCCCTCTGACCACAAGGCCGTTCGCCAACAGAAGCTGATAACCGCTCTGCAAATGGCTGTTTATTGTTAAAGATTTCGTTCTCGCTGATGATGTTTTATCTGAAACTGTACTGAAGTGGACTTATTCCTACTTAATACCGCGATATTTCGCGCAACCATGCTTGGTTAATATTGTGACATTCGAATGTACGCGCTGGGATTTCGGGGTGTCGTGTCGTATGCTGGGTGCCCACTCAAGGACATGTGGAGTCATCAATTTGAGTTGGAAGGAACAGATACCGATGGCCTTCGTGATCAATCCCTTCTTGACGTGTCCTTGTGCAGTCTGCTGCCTGCGGGGTGTCCAACCGACCCGAGATCAGTTTGGAGCGTTGGTGGTTCAGCTTCAGGTGCAGAGGCTGACTTTTGGAGACTGTCGGGTTCAGTCTTAGGGGCATTTGCAGCTCAGGTCCGGCACTCTTCCGGACCGTGTGCCGCGGGTTATCTTCGGTCGCTTCGACTGTTCGCCGGACCCCGATACGACAACGGACGATGCATCTCGTATGTGCCGCCGCCCCGACAGTTGATCGATCCTCTTCTTCCAACAACGGCCAAGTCGCTTCTCACCGTGCCCCCACTTTCCACAAATGGGTTAGCGGCCGTCCTTGCCGTCTGCGACCAGGTGGCCCGCTGTCACGCATCCCTACAAACACGTGAGCCGTCGCGTCTGCTTTGTTTTCTGTTTACCTCTCCCTCGCTCTCTCAATGGACCTGTACATCAGTCATGCTCTCTACACGACATCAAAATCCCCCTTACAGAGAAGCACGTCAAGATCATTTCAGAACGCCCACTCAGAACGCCCACTCAGTGATACTCTTGATCCTTTCCGAGACAAATTGCGCGACCTCAACGAGGCCGACGACCCGCGACAAGAAGATATTGCGAGTCTTCTCTCCGCTTTAGTCGCCTCGCCAGCTGCGTTCAGCCTTTCTTCGCCAGACGAAAGCGGTAGCGTTGCAGTCAAGCTGCTATCTATCCTACAATATGTTCGAGGAGGCGAAATAAAGACTCAGCAATTCCACCCTCTCGTCCGCCATGTCGTTGACGATTCCTCCGACATCGACGTCTGGGAAGCTGTCTTCACCGTCATCGAATCCCTTAGCGCCCTCACTCCTCCCCCGTCCAGCATCGCCCCGACTTTCAAAGGAACACCAATCAAGACTAGCTCGAGCCGACTGGCCGACAGCGAAACGCGCGACATCGTCGAAGGGGAGCTGTTCTATGAGATAAAAGATTGCACCTTTCGCGATGTGAAGGGATTCTGCGACAAGTTCTTTTACTCCAAGCGCTGGCGCAAAGAGCAGAAAGCGATGCTGAAGGAGATGATGACAGCACACGACGGAAAGAAATGGACAGATTTCCCGACCCCTTCGGACGAAAAGCCGGTCTGGGACTGGTTCTGTTCACTAGAGGAGCGTTTCTTAGCCGATTCAACGTACAAGCTACATACCACCAAAACCGCCCACCAGTTCAAGGAACGGAAAGGCCAGATGGATGTCTTCTTCCAGGCGCCAGCCAAGAAAAAGGACGGCACTTTTTGGTACAAGCATGTCCTTGTCGTTGGAGAGCAAAAGAAGTCATACGATACGGGCAGATTCAAGGCGGACCGTCTTCAGATTTTCCACGCGATGACCTGTTTGTACTTTTCGACACAACCCTGGTCAAGCTTGCGATGATCGAACGGCAGAGAAAGTCCTAACTGAACCTTATCCGTAAGACTTTGAGGATGGCTTGGGTATATAAAGTCCGAGGAATAAACAACCATACAATGAGTTCAATACCTCCCATCACCCAGCATCCCTGCGTAACCTAACAATCATACACTTCACGCGTAATCCCGAACGCGCACAAGCGAGGCATCTTTCGTGACCAAGGTAACGGAGGTCAAAGCGAAGCAAAGCGCCAAGATCTGAGACATGGTGATGGATGCGAAACTACAATACCTCCGTGATTGCCTCCGGCCTCAACGTCCGCACGTCCCTTCCCAAGTCGTTCGCGGCCAAGCCGTAGATTTGCGGTTGATGTTGAGACAGTTTCATTAACACCTACTATATTACCTCTGACTGGACTCATCACGCATCCGAATGGCCGAGCTATTGTTGAACGGGTCCACGTCTTCCCGCGCTCGCGTCATCTCGACCAGCTTGTTCAGAATCTGAAATTCCATCTTCAGCTTGACGCTATAAACAAAGGCTTTGTACGCCGTTTGAAGGTCGTACACGTCGGTATACTCGAGACAGAGGATCGGAACATCGAGGATAACGACAAGAATGTTTACTAAGAGTAGGTGCCGCCGCATTTTTCGCACAGAATCGCCGTACATGCTATCCTGGGTATCGAAGAAAGAGAAGCATGCCTTGATGTAGATGCTCGAGATGATGAGCTCTTGCAGGAAGAAGACGGTGACTTGGACCTTCTCATAGACGGTATACGGCTGGACAAAGGCGTTTGAGGGTGAGCTGTTGGCCCCGTACATGAGGATGATGATGGGGATATGCAAGGCGATGGCGTTGAAGATGATTAAGCCCAGGACCAGCTTCAGATAAAACGTGTCCCAGAATAAGAGGTGCAGGCGCGAGTAGAGGACAAGGGACTGGCCCGTGACCATGGGCACCCAGCCGACAGCCACAAACGTAATGTACAGTCCAAACTGGCGGGAGCTGAGAATGTTCTTGAGGAAGAAGCCGATGGAGTGCGGCACGATGCCATTAGTGGAGGCGACGAAACTCCAGAAGTAGAGGCCCCGTCGGCGCTGGAAGACGGTGAGGAGGATAACGTCGAGCTCGATAGCGTTGTAGAGCGACAGCACCAGGAACGCGACGACTGCGACACTAATGGCCCCGGGGTCCGTTAAACCCGTCTGGGGGTTGCCAGAATAGCCCATTACACAGGTAGACCGAATCAGATGTATGGTCAATTCTTCTGTGCTCCTTCGCGTATGAGCAGAGGGGTGGAAGTGACTGGGGCAGTGGCCACGTACCGATGTGGGTCCCGACTTTATGTTCATTAAATGTGTGACGGTTGCAGACAGCGACCAGGTACGGTGGGATATTAGATCACAAGGTGCCAACGATATCAAACCCCGCAGTGCAACGACACCACACCGGTGCCCAAGAGTGGGGCTCTTTTGGGTGGTCTGGAGGAATAGCGGAGAACGGAAGACAGCTTAGCGTAGCCACTGGCCCTATGAGATCCGTTCTCCAGGGCGTAATAAAAATACTACTACTCTGTACTACTACTTCGCAATCTGGGGGGCCAATAGGTGCGCACCTAGGTGCGCAAATAAGAGTACTTAGTCAGCTAGAACCCACAAAAACTGCTTGCGCGCCAATCAGATGCTTCACCCAACGACACTACTACACTAAGGACATTTCATACGGCACGGGTTCTGGTCACTGTGGCTGGTGGCTGCATATGGCGTGAGGTGCCTTGACTGTGACTACGGCAATCCTTCGGCCATTGTTTGAGTTTTGTGCTCAGATCTCGCGTTAGAGGTCACCGTCTGTTGATAGAGAGCTTGCGAGATAAATTGATGCCTTTCGAACTGCCCACTTGCATGAGGCTGTATTTGTAGGAGGTGTAACTTGTCGTGGCAATTGTTGAAATCGGTGATAGTGGTGGCCGCAAATACTAGCTTCCGTGCGCATAGTAAGCCGATCAGCGCATTCGCCTGCCGGGACAGTTAGAATCTAGCCAACCCTGATAAGTGCGATGAATTGCCCTGTACGCATAGGCAAGCGGATGGCCATGTTGCTGTATCCCCTTACGAGCCGCTTCAATGTATTCTGATGTGTTGCAAAGTATCGATTCGTCGCCAAGAGAGCCACAGTATTCGGTGGTATAGTTGCTCATCTGCTCGTTGCCGACCAGTCGGCCTTCAACGTAGCTTCTTGGAATGAAGATCGGAACGCACGACTCAAGTTTCTCGATGACATGCGCACCCGATTGTATGACAGCTCTCTCAATGTCTCGAGGCAAAGGCGAGTGAAGGAAGCGGAGGCACCATTTATCGGTCACCCGCAGAAAGAGATCGCCCGATGGGAATGTTGCCGCAAGTTCTGCAAAGGACCATTCGGACATGGTATCCTCAGCATTGTAGATTGTCGTAGACGAGGACTCTGGCAAAGGTGAAGGTAGCATGTCACCCGGCACCCTATAAACAATTAGGCCGTATTCAAGCGCGTAGAAACATCATGAAATACCTGTAATAGTCGGTGGGACTATAGGATATATCCATGATGAGTCGTTGTACTTTCCTGCGACTCAAGGTCTGGAAGTGCTGCTGTAGATGAATCGCACACAGTCCTTGATACCCAGTCGTATATGTAGCCGAGCTCTCTGTCGGGTCCATCTGGGCTTTCAAGAGGCACATGCAGCAACGCCTGCAACCCACCCAAGTGCGGCTGGACAAGACCATCTGCCCAGGCACGGCTCGCTCATGCATGGTCATTTCCGGCGGCGATCCACCTTCCAAAGTATGGCTGGTCAACCTATTCACGGCCTTAGGTCGTCGGCAAGGAGCATGGCTCAATGTGCCCATGTCACTTAAGTCTAATAGATATGGACTGAATATGCGTACCCATATCTAACTTGTAATTGTGGGCGATCCAACTACGTGCTGAGCGATTGTGTCGACGCCCGCATTCTTTAAGCCTCGATCTTCCTCGGTGTAGTATGTAAGCCATAACGCAGAAGCCTACAGAACATACATTATGAACCCCGCAGCATCGTGAATTGCCTCCTTACCATCCACACACCAGTCGTGACGATATAGTGTAACAACATGTCGCAGCACTTGAAGATACGTGGTATCCCTGTTGAAAATGCAGTTTTGGAAGAATTGGGAGGATATTTGGCGAACGCGCGATTTCAGATGGTTTCCGGTTCCAACGTTTGCGTAGACTGGCAGCTTAGCCTCAAGTGCCATCCCGTAACCGCTGCAATGGGAATACCAGGTGACAGAGTAAGCGCCTTACTCCGTGCTCGAACAAATGCTGATGATGCTTTGTAGAATGTCGGCGCGATGCGGTTGCAAGGCAGCATTGAGAGGCTATTGAAGATAGCAAAAGCGACCGATTTGATATTTGTTCAGAGCTCGGGAGACGAGAATTCAAAAGTCCGTGATGCATCAAGTATGGAGGAAGCGCCAGTGTCCCCGGACTGTGAGTGTCCCCGGACTGTGAGTGTCCCCGGACTGTGAGTGTCCCCGGACCGTGAGTGTCCCCGGACGATTGTCTGTCCTAGGACGTAGAGTGTTTGGCAAGCTGGTCATCTGGTTCGTACGAATAATTTCCTATTCCAGGTGCAGACTCACTGGGAGGGACGAAGCAGCACAGCTCGAGAGTGGAAGTGTCAATAGACGGCATGGTTATCACAGCCACTTCTTCAACGGGAATGCCCAGAAATCCTAGTCAGCACCATCACTGCCGGGGTGCTCAGTCCTGCTGCTACTGATCCGGACACGCAAGTGGTGCTAGCACACATAGGCTGAACGATGTATTACAAGCTATAACATCACAAAAATTGTGTCAGGCAAAACTTACGCTGTTACCAGTCCACCTTCGCCCTGCGCCTGATCACCTCCATCATGCTCGCCCCTTATCCATTCACCTAAAAACCACGAAGGTGCTTTCACTCCCTCAATCGCTTCTGCAGAACCTCGGCACTCCACTTCCATTGTGGCAAGACCCTCCCATCCGCGCAACCAAGGGTGTTGTCTCGATTGCTCGGACATCGCTGCGTTAGACCAGTGCCGGCTGCCAGTGGCATCCTCCACAAGAAAGGACATCATTCTCAGCGTCGAGGTTTTCGAGGGCTCTAGATTGATACTGTGATGATTTTCGTGACACTCGCGACCTGGCGAGAGCCGCGTCAAGTCATCACGGGCGACCTCGATGCTTCTGCCTGTATTCCGGCGAAACCCAGGGTCAGAGGTGCGAAATCCTCTTTTCGTCATTGAATACCAGAGGAAGGACTGGTATTGATGGGCACGTTTTGTCTCCAAGTACGGCCAGAGGTCTGGTTCAACTGAACGTTTCGCCACGCATCCGAATGGACGCCAGGATAAAAGCATAGGGCCTGAACCCTGTAGGTTAAAATCAAAGCGTCGACGGAGGATGTCTGCCCAAGGAATTTGGTCGGACGGTTCCATGTAGCATGCGGTAATCTCTTGATCTAAAAATGATTGCTTTGTGCCCGTCCAAGCAGAGAACATTGGATCGGGGGGGGAGAGCGAGCCGTAACCATATTTCTCGGTACAAGTTGTTGCGTATCGTCGAATCCAGTCTAGAATAGAGAGGTCGCCAAGTAAAGCGAGGGCAAGCCACCAAAGAGCAACTCGAGGTCGCCGCAAAGCAAATGCTTTTAATAGCTTCTCGAGGTTCTTGGCTTTGATAGCAGGCTCAAGAATATCGAGTACGGCGGCAAGCCACGGACTCACGAGGTTGCAATCAATGTCTGGCTGCCAAAACACACTCCAGAGAGTGGAGCCAAGCGATAGCGGGTGGAGACTGAGGGTCATAAAGTACCGTAAGTCGCGAAGATAACCGCGAATACTAGTTCCGCTGGTGTCATTGAACCTGCTACCATCGGGGCAGGTTAATCGTGGAAAAGGAAGTTGGGGGCGGAGCCCCATGAAACGATAGAAAGGGAGCGCAAGCGCGGCAAAGAACCCTGCCCTGCAGGGTGCCAGCTGGTCCCATTGCTTGTTCTGATTTCCTTCCGTTTCGAGGTTGAATAGTCGGCAGAATTCAAGGAGGAGCTCTGTCGCTTCGGTCGAGCTGGGAGGCGAGGGAGAATCTGGCACCGGCTCGGAGGTTTCGATAACAAGGTGTTCTTGGAGGGAGGCTGCCCAAGGAGGAAGCCCTTTGCCGCTGCCTGACCAACCCAACTCAGGGCTCAAAACCGCACAAAGCCATCTCACAAGCGCAGGAGACGCGCCATCCAACCGAACCAACCCAGGCTTGTCGCTTTCTCCCGGTTGTGGCCACAGCCGGTGAAGTGTGTACTTCACTTGCTGACCCTGCATTTCAAGCAGCCTGACAGAGAGGATGTACGACCAGCACAAGGTGAGGACGGCGATACTATCGGCCGTCTCCGTGCTGTCGAATAGGAGATGGGAGGCGGCCTCTAAAGATAACCGGCAATGCAGCGGACTCTCTGTTTCGAGGTTGAAATCAACACGACGACCATGAACGAGCTCTGGATCCCAGTCCTTGTCGGTATCCTCCGTGTGCGTTGGGGCTGTCTCCAGACGAGGTACACGCCAGAGTGGCCGTCCATATATTTTTTTGCCGCGAGGAAGCTTTGTTGGTAGACCGGGGACGTCCATCAACGTGATGTATGGGTCCAGAGACGTGGTGGGCCACCGGCCGGGTGGGAAATCGTCAACCATCGACAAAATGTTCGCCCAGGTTGCTTGGCCATCGTGGAATATGCGACAAATCTCGGAGGGGGAGGGCAGAAGTGGGTCGTCTTTCTCGCCAGTGAGGTATGTGGGCGATGAAGAGACGGTGGTTGTTGTCGCGGATGTAGTGGAGAGTGAGCTGCTGTCGCTGTCTGGCATCATCAGCGCTTTGGCCACCGCAGGAAGTTTAGAGCAAATAGCTCTCAGCAAAGTTGCTCTCTGAGCAAACGTGCCCCAGGCGGGTATTTAAACTTGATCAGGAACGAATGCATGGGCGACAAGAGCATGATCCAAGCAAGGACAGGGAAACACAATCGAAGTTACTGATAAGCTCTCTCGGGGTAATATCGGCCCGGAGAGAATGAACGGCGTGCAATGCCAGTTGAATGGTACGGAGTACACGCCCCACAGAGCCTACCACTGCCCTACACGATTCCATGAGCCTCTTGCCTCATTTCTTTGCACGCTTGATCTCCTTCGCGAAATACAGAATCCCTTCGTACTCAAACTCGTACCCTTTGTCGGTTGCTATCCAATAATCCCCTGGTGTTCTGATGGTTTGCCCTGAAACGGTGGTGAACTGCACCTTGCCCTCCTTCGTATAGCGTGCCTTTACTTTCACAATATCCGCCTCTGCCGTGGCGTCATCAATCGCAAGACTAGTCATGCCAGCTACAACGGTCTCCTCCGCCAAACGCGCCGAATCCCACTGGAGTTGATCCACCGACTCCGCTGAATAGGTGCGTCGATGTGACGAGTGTGCCGTTTGTTGATTGGCTGTGGATCGTGAGGATTCAGCCTCGGGCATTGCAATAGCACTGCTGTCCGGGAAAGCCGTTGTCTGCTCATAACTTGCTTCTGGGTCGCCGGCCTCTTCCGGGGATTGATAGTCTGGATGGCTCGACGCAAACTCAGTTGGCTCTAAATGGCGGGCAGCTTTGGCTGTACTTGGAAAGTGTTTCTCGCCACAGCGGCATGGGACGTGGCATATTCTCCACCCGGCACCAGAGTCGTGTACAGTGACCTGGCAGACAAGGACGCGTTTCTTGCACCGCTTACATTTCGAGAGGTTCGCTTTGGTGTGGCCATCCATAGCATGACCACAATAGATGCAGAACCCTTCTTCTCCGGTGCTCGTGCTCATGATCGCAAATAGAATGGTTCGCTATATTACTCGGTGCACATACTGTAAGTGGAATCGGATCGGGATTTATAATGTATTTGCGACCCCGTCAAATTGACAGAGGACATCGCGAGCCGATCAGCTCAGTATTCAAGAGTGTGGTTTGGAGTGCATGGTATGCTTTGGAGGTGTAGTGTGGTTTGGAGGTGTAGTATGGTCTGGACGGTGTGGTATGGTTTGGAGGAACAGTAAGTAGGCTGGGGCGGTTGAACAGGGTTATGATGTTGCATTCATGTACGTAGAACGGCGCGTGACGACAGCTTGGTGGCTGGCACCGGTCGCTATGGTCCGGCAGCGTGGTTCTCAACTCGACAGTTGAATCCACAACTGTTCGGGGGGACTCCCCCTGCAAACACAAGGCATTTCATGCTTGGTGTTGGCTCCCGCGATGACAGGTCGTCTTCTGTCGTCCAGTTCTCGCCAATGAACCAGATGTGGCCAACCCCCTCCCCCACGAGCCACCACCCCTCCACATTTTGCGCAGAGGCAACTTATCCCGGGCTATCATGGCCGATTGGCTAGAGCAGGCCCACTGATCACCTCTCTTGATGACGCTTCAGCGACACATCCCCAATTGCCCAAGAGTGCGATTGCTGGTTTTTCTCACAATGATACCATTCCCTCCAAAATATACCATTCACTTCGTTCCCCAAAACCAGTTCGCAAGTCGCCAGTATGGAAGATAGCGGGCCAGCCTCCATCACATCAGCGGATGAGTCCCAATCGGATCGCCTTACGTTACTTCTGAATCGACTTCACCAATATGAACGAGCACCGTGGGGAATAGTGGAGTCATGGCAAAAAACCCAGCATGATACCGAAGACTCAGCAGCAAGAATATTTCTCCGCTCTGGCGGATTCCCTGCGTGGTTTGCCCATTTTCTCACCAAAAGCGCCACGGAGGTACAATACCACTTTGTCGGCAAAGCTGATTGTAGCCGTTTAATCTTCGAGCTTGAAAATGAGCCCGCTATATCCCGAGAGTTAGCGGCACAAGTTGCGGCCGCAATTCCCCCGGAAATCAGGACGAAAATCGAAAGTCTATATAACAAAAGGATCAAACCACTGGAGAATGGAACTATGTCACAGCACTCAAACAAAAGACGACGTAAGTAGGCCGCCGTATGATGTGTATATGCTATTCTAATATAGTTTTAGGCACAATAGCAGACAACGACTGTCCGCCCATTTCCACTGCGAACTTCCCTAGTCCGACCGCTACTCCTAGTAGCCCCAACGCGAGCCGTCTTTCTCTTGATCGCCGCTCCCTCGAACAAGCGCCAGGATATAATTCTGTTGGTTGTTTTGCCGAAGATGAACATGTGCTAGTCAATGCGTCCCTTGCGGTGGCCACACGACTTCTACCCCGGGACCTCTCGAACGCGATCAGAAGAAACCCTGACCCGAGAAACGAAGGCGCCTTGGTGGCGGCAATATCGATGACATTTCCGAACGCACCATACACGGATAAGTTCGGATGTTATATGGCAGTAGAAGTCACGAGTGATAAGGTTCAGCACCTTGCCCGGGAATTATTTGGAGTACGCCTTGAAACGATGGCCGGGCTCCGATATGTTTGTCTCGCTGAGAGCAGTGCGAAAATACTGGCCAACCCAAAGTTTACACTCCAAGGGTGCCAGTGCAGCATCATTCCTTCCACGTTTGGCCCGGAGTTGTCTAATGCGATCATAACAGGTCCTAAATATCAGGATGACGCTAGACAATGGCGTGACTCAACAGATGCTGTCTCGATGGTGGTCTCACACTCGGCCCATGATGGAGCCGTCGTCTACCTGCACCTCGGACTGTGGGAAGGGACCGAGATCAAGAAGAAGCTGTATGCTTGATATTAAATAACTCCCTTGAATGCGACACTAATTTCCTTCTTTCACTTTCCCGTCCTTCCCACCGAACCAAAGTTTCGTGTCCCTCTGCACGGTTCCTTCTCCGTCACAAGTGTCATATTCGGCAGTCGGCGTCTTTGTGTCGGTAGCTTTGTAAACCCGCAGAAAGCATCCCATCCAGTAAACTGTCTGTCCTGATCCTTCGATGGTGGTTGGGGACCCCTCGGCATCGCTGAAAAATTCTGCGTCCTTCGAGAGAGCCCTGATCTCGAACGACTAACAATGATGTTAGACTAATCACAATCACAGGGCAGGGGACGAACCATTCGGGATCGGATCCTATCATCCAGGACAGGATGGAAAGTTGGTAGGAGTCTTTCAGTTGTCGGCGTATCCAGGCTCGCGGGGTCGTTGATTATCTCTGAAAACCTAAGTTTTGTTCACTTGCTGTCTCCGTATTATATTCGGTGATCCGATAAAGATAGCCGCTGATAGCCCTAGGATCAAACTATTGCTGCCCGTGGTTTACGATTCCATTCGTGATCTTGAGGAGCGTAGGGAAACACGAAACGAGGGAATTCTGAGATGGATCAGGCACGAATGCAGCTTTGACGAAAAATGGCCAGCGGACGTCATCTGTTCTGCGGGCGAAATGTGCAAGGGGTTCATAAACCAACATGATTGGGCGGAAGGCGGTACGACAGTGGAGGCTGCTTGCTGGTGGAGGCATGGCAGTTGAGTGATGGTTGTGAAAGATGTTGGATGCAGTGGGGCATGTGGAGCTATGGTGGTATGTATGGTAGTGGATGTATGGTAGTGGATATATGGTAGTGGATGTATGGTAGTGGATGTATGGTAGTGGATGTATGGTAGTGGATGTATGGTAGTGGATATATGGTAGTGGATGTATGGTAGTGGATGTATGGTAGTGGATGTATGGTAGTGGATGTATGGTAGTGGATGTATGGTAGTGGATGT